GAAGAAACACATGGTTTACATCAGCTGGGTTCTTTGCGATGAGCCTCTGGACGAAGAAACAGAGTTGGCCCTAGGTTTCTTGGATCACCTAATGCTCGGAACTCCAGCTGCTCCTTTGAGAAAGGCACTGATGGAGAGTGGACTAGGAGAAGCACTTGTTGGTGGTGGACTAGACGACGACCTTCGTCAGCCCTCATTTAGCATCGGAATGAAGGGTGTTGCCGCAGACAAGACTGTGGAGGTAGAAGAACTTGTAATTAAGACGCTGAATGGATTGGTGGACGAAGGATTCACCGCTGAAGCTGTTGAGGCCTCAATCAATACAATTGAATTTTCTCTTCGGGAGAACAACACTGGCTCATTCCCGAGGGGCCTATCCTTGATGTTGCGCTCAATGGTACGTACAGAACGCAGAATACAAGTTCTGTTCCTCCCTGGCTTCGCGATCCGCTACTAAACTGTATGTTTCGGCCAGGATGCACTATGTCGCGAAGGTGTCGCTGTACACTTTCATCACTCATCATGATACCTTTACATGTCGCAGGTTTTAGTCTAGTGAGCCTACGTAGCTTGAGCTAATGTTTTCTCCTCCAAAATGTACTGTAGGGGAAATGGCTCTATGGGGGTGATCCTTTTGAGGCTCTAAGATTTGCCAAGCCATTGGAGGCCTTCAAGGAGCGCATTGCCAACGAAGGTGTAAAAGGAGTTTTCTCACCTCTCATTAAAAAATTCATTCTTGACAACACTCACCGTGTTACCGTTGAGCTGCAGGTAAGTTCATGTGTTTTCTCTGTTTTCCTTGTCATGCTTATCGTTGAAAGCGTATGTTGCGTTGTATTGTATGAGGTGTAGTGTAAGGGCGTTGAGTGTTCAGCTCATCGGAGGTGTTTGCTGCAGCCTGATACTGAAAAGGGAGTAAAGGATGAAGCTGCCGAAGCCGAAAGACTAGCGAAAGTGAAGGCAAGCATGACGAAAGAGGATCTTGCCGAGCTGGTCCGTGCCACGGAGGAGCTGCGAGTGAGACAAGAGACACCAGATCCTCCCGAAGCTTTGAGGGTCGTTCCAAGTTTGTCATTGAAGGATATTCCCAAGGATCCCATAAATGTGCCCATTGCTGTACGTGCTCCTACTCATTTTCATGTCTTCGTGTCGACAGTGTTTTGTGATGTGTTTTCTGCTAGGAGATAATTTAACCTCTAATATTAATCGAACTCGATTTTGTCTCCATGTCGAGACTCACTTCTCAGTTAGGCCTGGAAGTTCAGGGTTATATGTAGATTTTGAAGTTGAAACTGTTCAATACCTGGCTTACTTTGCTGTTGCAAATTTCCGTTTGTCTGAGTTTTGATCTTACATGATCAGGTGGGCGAGATCAATGGTGCGACCGTACTCCGACATGATATATTCACTAATGACGTGTTATACACCGAGGTGGCCTTCGACATGTCTACACTGAGAGCAGATCTCCTTCCTCTCGTGCCTTTGTTCTGGTATGCATTTTCCTCTTTCCCCGGTCCTGTGATTTCTTTGAATTGTGGAGTTTTTGTTAGCGTATACAGTTTGAGGGGTAAGCGTTTCTGGAAGCCTTTTGCCTACTATTCACTGGAATGTTTTCTTGGTAATTGGTCGATGGGTATTGAAGCTGCGGGATAGTGGTTCCCTGTGTTTGTTTATTTCTTATCGTCTTGTGAGCTTCTCAATTGTATGTTGGCATCCACATACTGGGGTCTAAATTATGTTGCTTCATCTTTGCAGCCAATCGTTGCTTGAAATGGGTACGAAAGATATGGACTTTGTGGAATTAAGTCAGCTTATTGGGAGGAAGACTGGGGGTATTTCTGTGTTCCCCTACGTCAGCTCGGTTCATGGCAAAAAAGAAGCTTTGAGCTACTTTATGATTCGAGGCAAAGCCATGGCCAATCAAACTGCCGATCTTTTTAATCTGGTATATTTTCAACTTCTTCGTATATACCACCCGAACACTGCTCTCTTTGACCTCTGGCAGTACAATGACTCCAAGTATTATTTGGCCTGACCTTCTTCTATTCCGTTGGTTCGAAGTTGATATTATTTACAAACCGACTTTACTTTTCACGGTTAATTGTTCTTGCATCAATCTTGAATTTTTTTTAGTTTTTACAATTTCCGCCAGGCGATGCTTAGCGGAAGTTTTTGTTGGACGTTTTAATTGGGAATTTTGAACGTGCTACAGATGAAGGTAGTCCTGAAAGACGTTCAATTCAACGATCAGCAACGATTCCAGCAGTTTGTTTCACAACGGAAGTCAGGCATGGAGGTAGTTTTCCTCACGTTTCTCGGCTGCGTTGTTTATTTCAATTTTGTTGCTTGGAAACTAGCACGAGCTTGCTTCGAATATTGAAGTAAGAAATGGCCAATCATCTTCACTTCGTTCATTTCTCACCGTGTTTTAAATTTTCTGCAGAGTCGAGTTGTCGGCGGAGGTCATGGTGTTGCAGCCACCAGAATGGACGGAATGTTGAACGTAGCAGGATGGGTGAACGAACAAATGGGTGGTCTCAGGTAAAATGTTATTCCAACTGAAAAGTATTTTCAAAATAAACCTTCTTGTCGCAGTAAGTGGCTTGTATCACGATCTTCATTGTGTTCTCGAAAAGACACCTTATTAGCTTCCTAAGTTGGATCGAGTTGGACACAGGACACCTTGTCCGAACAGTTATGCTATAATATTTGTTCGCAAGTTGCTGCCTATAGGAATCGCTATTCGTCTGATTCTCAACGATTGACATCGACTGGACTGTTCATTCTTCTCACCCGGGGTTGTGCTTATGGGCCTACCAGGTTTTGCCCATGGTCCAGAATTATACAACGTAACACCATTTGTTTGCCTGTTCTCAGCTATTTAAATTATCTGCGATCTTTGGAAAAGCGGGTCGAAGAAGATTGGCCAGCAGTATCTCAGGCTTTGGAGGACATCAGAAGTGCAGTACTTGGACGGAAAGGTGTAATTGTAAACTTGACAGCTGATGAAAAGATTCTCACGAGCGCCGAACCGCATGTATCAAACTTTCTCGATGCTTTCCCGGAGACAAGTGGCGACAGGACATGTACTTGGAACCCCGTTCTTCATCGTGTGAACGAAGGACTAGTAATCCCCACGAAGGTATTACTTCAACGCCAAAGAGAGTGAATTTTGTTAAACATTCTTTGTCTGAAGTGTGCAGTATTGGAATAGATTTGAAAGCAAATTCGCTTGTCAACGAGGGCGACGTTTTGTGTACTGAAACCAAGCCGTGCCACGCAGGTTAACTATGTGGGAAAAGCTGCATGCCTTTATGACGCCGGATACGAGATGGATGGTAGTTCGTATGTAATCCAGAAGTACATTGGAAACACGTGGCTTTGGGACCGCGTACGAGTTAGCGGTGGTGCCTACGGTGGTTTCTGTGATTTTGACATGTTTTCAGGTTGGTTCTGGGCAACTTCATATCTGATATTTTCACAGCGCCAGTGCTTTGCAAGCTGAGGGCTTGAAAAGTCCGAGCTACAGAACACAATTTCGCTGACTTCATGATTTTTCTGACCACAGGAGTATTCTCATATCTGTCGTACCGTGATCCAAACCTGCTCAAAACTCTGGATAATTACGATGGCACTGTAGAATTCTTGAAAAATCTTGAGTTGGATGATGAGGCCTTGACGAAGGCCATAATTGGAACGATTGGAGAAATGGATTCGTATCAGCTACCTGACGCGAAGGGGTATTCCAGGTGTGTTTCGATATACTACAATAGGTCCACTGGGGTCATGAGTTTGTACTTAGTGTCTTTAATATGGATTTAGTCGTTGTGCAGTTTGTTGTGCTCTATGCACATTTTTTGTGATATGTCCCAACAACAAAACTGCTTGAGAACGACGAGCTTACAGTCAACCCGAAGTAAATGTGCTTCATTAGAATGGTAGCTGAAACTCCTGACTTTGTTGTGCAGTATGATTCGTTACATGATGGGTGTTACTTGGGAACAAAGACAACAGCGACGAGAGCAAATTCTTTCTACAAGGTGAGAAGAAAATAGATTAGGAGTTGTCTTTTTGCTCCATATTAGTCTTTTATTCCGACTTTGATCCGCTAACAGTCTTCATTCATTTGTGCGCATTGTTATGTTGTTGGGTATGAGACTAGAGGAATATCTTTACAACTGTTTGCCTTCATGACTTCAGTAATCTGAATGTGAGTTTTCCGCTTCGCAGCGTGGAGGACTTCAGAAACTTTGGAAGCAGTCTTGAGTACGTTAGGGATAGTGGAGTTGTTGTCGCTGTTGCATCAGCAGATGACATCGCGGCAGCGAACGAGGCAAAGCCCGGTTTCCTGGATGTTGTGAAAGTGTTGTAAATGTACGGGAACGGTAGGTTCAAACCTCCGTCATAAGAGGTGCATGTAACATAACGTGTATTATTCACTGAAAATTAAAGGCATTGTCCTGTCGTGGTTGTTACGAGTATCTCACATTGACTCAAGTAATGGTTAGCTGGTTTGTGTCTTTGAAATTACAGTACGAAAACACGCATGATATTACAGTTTCAAAACACGCATTTTTCGAGAACTTTGCGAAGTGAATTTCTGCTGCTCACGATTTATTCACAAGAATGGTGTATCTCACGGATTTGAAAGTCAAATAAAATAGAACGACAGTCAATACGTGGACGCAACCAAAACAGCAGGAAGAAAACATTCGACAGTTTCCACGAGCTTAGGTAGAAGAGAAAATGCTGCACTTATAGCATTGCTTAGCAAACTTCTGATACTGATGAAAGATAAGCCTAAGCTCCGCATTTTCGCAGTTAATTTGAAGCATCAAATAACTCGAATGTTGAAGAGTCCACTCATCCTTTGGAGCTATTACCGTCACTGCAGTATACATGAATAGACGTATGAAGAATGTTGGCACGTGTGATTATGATGATTGCACAGTATCTGTCATCAGTGATTTATGAATTACATTTATCTTCAATGTTGCAGAATCTGGCTGCGCGAAGAATTGAATTCGCCTAATTCTGCTTCATATTTACAGCTCATATTTGCACACTGCCCTCGTATCTGAGAAGGATGTGAAAGACTGTCAGAAATTTCCGTCTGGAAGACACTTTTGATTAATGAGTGGGAATAGCTATTGTCTTGTGTACTTTCGTGAGACTCTTGAGGAAGAGCATGAATCTGAAATATGTTTCAAAATCGCAAGGAGAGACGAAGATGTAGTAAGACTCCGCCGCACCAGAATGTCGCAGATAAAGCTACTCCACTTTAATTGCTATGGCTTTAGACAACTGACTTCACTACCGCCCATTGAAAGCACGCGCAAGCGACTGTCCATTGTTACAACTTTCCAAAACGAGCTGCCAGGTAAGCAATTTTATAGAGGACCTACGCATTGAAAATAAATTGAGAATAGAGTTTGTGATTCCAAATAGTGATAGTGAGTTTCTTAAGAAAAATCATAATCTAGAAAGAAGAGAGACATGGAGGAAAAGTAGTATCGGAGCCAAGGCACTGCTTTACGCACTTATCTCTTGCTGAACTCCCAGTCCGACGGTTGACTACAGCAGTGATCAAAGCTAGCCGTCACCAAGTTCCTTACAATGTTGCTGTACTGTTCTTCCTCTTCGGTCTGGCCTGGAGGCATCTCGCCCTTTTTGGCCCATTGTGCATTTCATGCTCGGTCATTTTATTATGCATTCATGTAATGTAGAGCATCAGATTCAGAATCTGACTGGCCCCGACGATTACCAGAAAACTGCGTTTCATGGATGACACATGTGATGTGGAAAGTGGTGCTCGACATTTGCTCCGTGCTTTCTCCCAAACAACGAGGTGGTCTGATGGAAATGGCCCTCCATTGGGCCATGAATCATTCGCTGGCTGAGTGAGGTACTCGAGAGCGTGGGATAAGGAATCCATGATTCTCTGTAGGTATGGGCATCTTAACGCCATCTGACCCAGTGAGACGGTTTTCTGGAGTACAGTGGCTGGGTCCGAGAGCATGAGTGGTAAAGCAATTCCAGCGAGCGAGCGAGGTTTCTGAGTCTCATTCCCGACGGGCGTGGGACGATTGATGGAATTTCTCCCAGTTTCGGATCCGTGGGAGCAGCTGGCGGCGGATATGAGTGAGTCACATGAAGCAAGGCGACAAATGTACCGCCTGCCATCCATAGGCCGTACAGGAGGGACAGACAAGGAGGAGGACGAGGAGACGAATATAGACACTTATGTGACGAATTTGACCCTTTTCCAGTCATGGGTCGTCTCATGTTCACGCAAGAGCTGCAGCCTGTCATAACATGGTGCTGGAATTCTTCTGAGCAATTCACGTCTCACATTCGTCATGACGAGGAATGTGAGAAAAAAAGTTGAAAACTGATTTTCTTGGAATGTCCTACAAACTTGTCTTCTTCTGAACTATCGACCCGAAATTCAACCAGGCAAACGAACATTCAGCTATCATAATAAAATCTCACTTAGGAGGTCACGTTTCTTCCTCCTCTCCCAAACATATGAAAGCTTACAGCAGTTCTTCCAGTTACGAGAGTAGTGAAAAAGGCAGCACTGGCAATATATTCGAAAATCTCATGTTATGGTTTGAAGCTACACTTGAGCATTTTCAGTCTGAGAATGTATGCAGAATTGGCGGAGTGCATGTTTGTCCTGGACGAGATCAGCGACCAATGTACTAACGCCCATTATTTACACAAACGTAATGATGCTAAGTGGGGCAGAAAACATGTGGTGAAGGTAATGAAGTGTGTTCTTCATATTCTTCATACTATACGAGCGCAAGTACCATATCTTTGGAGACAAAAGCAGTGTCCGTCTCAGGTTCCTGGATCCCGTCGGGAATCCCAACGAGGGTTGATGTCAACTGATTGCTACGCCATGCGGGAGTCTGATCTAATGCGGGTGCCCTCCCCATCCGAAAGATTCCAGGACTCGAGAAGAGATTCAAGCCTTGAACCTTGAGGTATCCAGATACGAGCTCCACAAGGGAAACCAAGGAAAGTTCCCAAGTGGTCGCGGTCTGTGTCACATACCCACGCGAAACTCCTGAGGATCGAAAACTTGGTGTCAAATTCTGTGACAAGAAGAAGAGAATCTCAAATCCGCTGTACCAAACGTTCTGAATCTGAGCATGGAGCTCAATGGGCTTGTGTATCTCGTTCCCCGGGGAGATGGGAATCTGTGACTGTATGAATGAAGGAATGAATGAATACAGTCATGCTCGACATCCATTCATCACGATGGAAGTGAAAGGAAAACGGAGCGGAGGGCAAAACATGGCTACAGAGGCGCAGGGGCTGGAGGGGCTGGAGGGGATAGTAGAGGAGTTTGATGGCGGAGAGATTCAGGCCGGGGGCTGGCTGGCAGCCGGCGAGCGCCCCCGTCCCGTCCGGCGCGGGGGCTGGGAGACCGGGATGGGATGGGCCGGGCCGGGCCGACAGAAGCTCTAAGCCCAGCCCGCGATTCAGAACCCCGTCTGAATGGAATGTGGCCTGCAGCTTTTTGGCCTCGCTGACCCCCCGCGCAGCCACGTGCCGCTGGCCCCAGTCTAGCCCAAGCCCAAGCCCAAGCCCAGTCCCTGTCCCCTCGGCGTGCACTCTCACAATGATTCTCTTCTATCTCTCCGCCTCCGTCTCGCTCTCGCTCGATCGTTTCTCCGAGAGAAGAGCGAGGCGAAGGACCATGACCATGACCCAGCGCGCGACGGGACGACCGAGCGCGTGGGCTTGTGCGCAGCGCTTATTACCATACCCGCCTGGGGAAGCACCCACCATCATCTTCAGTACGCTCACGCTCAGGACCGGACAGGGAAGCGCCTCAGGACCTTAGGAAGTTAGGACATTCGCATTCGGTGCTTCTGCGCCGCCTCGTTCGATCGATCCACTCGCATGGACTAGCCCCGGGCAGAAGTCTTGCAATTCGGTGACAATCTCTGGTCCTCGGGGGCGGCGGCGAGATCCGAAAGCTTCATTCAGTGCCCCGCTGAATGAAGGATTTCGTTTCGCTGTCTGCCACCCAGATCCGATCATCACACACCCACTGCCATTCATCTCCGACTCCGAGCCCCGAGACGATTTCAGATCTTCGATTCGGCGGACGATGAAGGTTGCACAGATGCAGCAGTGCTAGGTGCTTACGTGCTGGGTGCTAGCGCTAAGCTTGCCCCATCGAGGGGCTCGCTCGCCAGCCACTGACCGTCGCGGGATTTGCCGTCGCTGCGTCGGGAGGGGGAGCGGGCAGGGGCAGGGGCAGGGGCTGGGGTAGGGGCTGGGCTTCGATGGAGACGTTGCACATGAACGATTACTTCAGGAGCGTGAAGAGGAAAAAGTACCACCGGTTCGAGAACGGCGGGGGCAGCGCGGAGGCGGAGGGGGGCGCGACGGCGCAATCGAAGACGTTGAAGCGAGTGAGCTCGGACGTGGGCCGGACGAGGACGCGCATTATCATCCGCGCGCAGCTCTTCCGATTCATCCGCAGCGTGTGCCTGTCGTGCGTGAGCCTGAGCCACTCCGCGGGCGCCTCGAGGTCGCGCGCCTCGGCGGCCGTTGCCGTGGGGCTGCACCGCAACGCGCGCGACCGAGTGGGTCGCAAGCCCTCGCCCCACCAGCAGCACCAGCAGCATCAGAGCCACCACAACCAGCAGCAGCAGCAGCAGCAGCAGTCGCACCAGCGCCACGACTCCATCGACGAGAACGTCCTCCGCGACTATCTGGCCCGATCTGTCGACGATGGCCGCTACGCTTTCTACATCCCGGGCAATCTGGCGTACTTGGACCTCGTCTGATCCCCTCTCTCTCCCTCTTCTCTTCCCGATAATAATTCGTAGTCCATCACAAGTCTCGGGGGTCGAGCTTCCCCGCGCACGTGTAGAGTAATGGCATTCAGGCATGGACACGCAGCTTCTCTCTTACGAATTGATTCGACACAATTGGACACGATAGACGATTCTCATTTGAGCAATGGCTCGTCTTCTTCAGAAAATTATCAAAATTTTACGGGGCTTGTGCTCCAGGTTTGAAGTTAGTGTGTAGGCTTAGGGTGGGGGAGGCTTGGCTTGGCACCTCCTCCATATATCATCATCAAAACATGACACGGTCGAACGAATGTTCGACACTCGAGTGAATGACACAAGCTTGTTTGTGTTGGCTCTTACCCCATCGAATCCAATCCAATCCCATCCCATCCCATCCCATCCCATTCCAATCCCAATCCCCTTTGAATGAAAGCGTCTGAGAACCCCTGACAGCGGTTCCCACCCGGGGCTTGGGCTTGGTGGGCTGCGGGAGTTCTGATGGCCGAGGCACGAAAGCACCTCCTGTACCTCGACCGATGACTATCGAGCTGTGGGTTGAATCCGAGACCAGACCAGACCAGACCAGGCCGCCAGGACAGAGTGAGTGAGAGTGCAGTCTCCGTCGGTGTCGAGAGCTGCATCCAGCGCCAGGGACTTCGACTTGCCTGCGTGCTGGGGTACACTCAGATTCTGGCGCTAAGTGGCTCGGTCTTGGGTCGGTTGAACGAGTCGAAAGTCCTCGAGGTTGTGGACGAGGGGACTCGGCCTGTCCGTGGACTTTCGGCATTTGGACATAAGTGTAATTTTGTACTGTACAACTGAAATCAACGCCTCATAACCTTTGTGCACTCTGACGTTGTTGCTGCTGCTGCTGCTGCTACTACTTGAACGTGCTGATGAATAACATAGTTGTAGCCAACTTTCGAGACATTTGTACGTGCTGAAAGAACTCTCTCTTTCTCTCTCTCTGTCTGTGGTTTGCCTCATTCGTAGACCGACCGTCTCTCCAATCGATCTTTGTCCAGAAGAGAAGGGAAGGAAAGGAAAGGAAAGTGAAAGTGATGAGAGGTTCTGAAGCGCGTCAGCTTTGGGCCTTGACATGCTATCCTGGCTTGAAGGAAGGAAGGAAGGAAAGAAGGAAAGAAAGGCCCCTCCCAATTCAACATCGAAGATAATAAAAACGCCAGAACTTACAACTGGAATTTACTCATTTTGCAAAAAAAGTTAAGCACTCCCACCGACTGTTGGCCATCCTGACTCGACTGATTGTGCTTGTGACGAGCGACATCAGGATTTCAACCCTTGAATACTCGTTGATGATGTGTGTCATTTTGTTGATCCACAACGACATCATATTTTCAGAAGAATGTTCAACACTATCGAGTTCAGCATGTGGATCAGACCTTCAGAATAATAGTCTAAATCAATTACGGTACCGTAAGAACCACTGCCCTTTCGTAGGTTTCATATTTCAGCTTTGAGTATTATGTATACTTCTGCACAAAGAGGACAATGTGTTACTTGGAAAAGCGCCTTAATGAAGGACAGGACTGTAACTATTATGCTCGAGTCTACACCAGTCTATTCCAATTTAGCCCTGTGCATATCCAGTTATCACCTGTACACATGACAGGAGCAGGAGTACAAGCTTGTCCTGTCCATGCCAAGACGTACATGACAGACATTGTGCGCAGGATGTAGACTACGAAAGCCATACGGTAGTCAGGAATTAATTATTAATGTGCAGTTTACTGACGATGGACGAGATAGATGTGACTGCTGGGCACATTCATATTCTGTCAGACAGAACTGTTGCCCACCAAGATGACAAGATAACAATGTCGTGATGACATGTCGTGATGAATACCTAAGATGACAATGTCGTGATACCGATCCAAAGAGCCATGGGCGGATGAAAATGCTCGACTTGTTGGTGGACCATCATTCAAAAGCCCAAGATACAGTGATGATGAGATGATGGAAATCGACAACAGACATTTCTTCAGAGCGCAAAAGTCCGTAGCAGTCCCAGATCACGTGAGAAGTGAGTCAGACTTTGATGGTTGTCAACCGTTTTCAACTATTTCTCTCGTTTTCCTCCGGGACAAAATTAGGTAAATGTCAATTTCCAATCTGGAGAACATTTTATAAAGAAACCCATCAACTGGCATGCCAACTTTAGACCAACTGTCCTCCTTCTCGCTTGCTTGCTTTAAACAATGATGCCAGACAGTTGGAAAATTTTAACCGTCCGAAGTCCGAAGCCTATAATACAGCCATGGCCATTGCCATTGGTGCCCTGCACTGAGCACATCGCATCCATGAAACCGTGGGTCCGAAGACGAAGACGTTGTCTCACTGAGAAGATACACTTCATGAATTTACAGGAGAACTGAAAAGCCTGCATGCGCAGTCTACAATCGACTGAACAGATCCAAGATGTGATCCGAGAGCGAGCACATGTTGGATCTGCTCGGTCTGTCTATTTGTTTGTTTGTTTGTTGGATCCCAGGCAACAGAATGCACATGTGAAGCTAGTGTACAAAGCTCACGAAAGTGACGATCAAATCTAAGCATGAACTCCGAAGGCGGTCTTCAACACGAATCAATCAAAGCTCAGTAACTAGTCTTCCAAGTCTCCACCGTAGGCATCCAAGGTTCACGACGTTCATCTTAAGCGGCCGTCTGTACACAAAGAGAAAACTGCCCATGAGCTCATCACGATGCTGCTGCGAACAAACACACTTCCGACTCCAAGGGCCACCTCGAACACTTCCGCCGCCTTCTTCGAGCGGCCCTTTCTGACATCCCGTAGAGAGAAATATATTCATCCTCGGCGATCAAAAGAAAGAGAGGCACCATCTGAACGCGTGGATCCAAAGCGTTCAGATCAGTAAAAACTAAGCCTACGTCTACGGCACCCTTGCATGCGCTGGCTAAACCTTCCAGCCTCCTCATGTCGAAAATCTGATTGATGATGATCCTGATTCGGACTCGGAGATTTGAGGACTGGCAATTCGACAAATAGCTTTCGACATGTGAAGAATTCAGACGGTGGCGACAAAACTGACTGACCGGAGCAGCAGCTAAGCTATGGCGGAGCCAGAGACGGTTCGAATGCACACAAATGGTGTGGATCGTAGTTGCCTTCCAGCATCGGAATCCAGTCCCAAGAGTTCTCGGACAGATTGTGGACGAGGACGATCAAGCCTCCACACGACCTCTCCCTGCACGGATCTATGATGAAGAGGAAGTCGGATTTGGAAATGCACCACCAAATATCGTGGCGGTAAGAGAAGCGAGTTCGGAATCTCAGGTCCTCGAAGACATTGAGGGGAAGATCCTTGAGGTGAATCCACAAGCTGGAGCACGACTCGTCGAGCTTGTAGATGGAGATATTGGAGCTAGACTTCGTGATCAGCAAGACGCTGCCACGGTGCTCGACGATTCGGGCGTGATCCATCCACACGTGGGCCCCGATCGCAGGAATGACGCTCCAGCAATCCCTCTCGAGGTCGTACTTCATCAGCATCCACTCCCACAAAGCTCCATCCTCCGGCACGAGAAGCAGAGCCGCGAGGCAGAAGAAGGCCCCGCTGCAGTACACGCTTCCGCCGAGCCAGAACAGAATGTCTCGCGGCACATCGGCTCGCTTCTTCCACGACTGCGACCCCGAGTCGTAGACCAGCAGCCTGCCGCGAAGAATCCCCGCATTCACCCCATCGCCGCCGCTGCCGTCGCACTCCGACACCACCACCACCACGAGCTCGTAATGTCCCGTGGCCGCGTTGGCCCCCATGGCCACCTGAATCCGGTCGATGGTGTAGAGGCACGGGAATGGCGACTCGCCCACCGCCGGGTCGGGCATGAGAATCTCCTTAAACCTGCGGGTCAGCGGATTGCAGATGACGAGCTTCTCGGGCGCGTAGGTCGAGAAGCAGAGCAGGCCTCCGGCTGTGGCGATCAGGCAGAGGCCGCTGGTGAGCAGGTCGACCTCCAGGAAGGTGAGCGGCTGCTCCTGCCAATCCTTGGTGATGGAGTTGTAGGTCGAGAAGGAGCCTCGGCCGAAGTGCACGGGCACGCATTTGGGCGAGGGATTCTCCAGGTACGGGATTTCGTTGGCGTGAATCAGCTGGTTCCATCGCTTGCACACTCGCCGCAGTCGCACCAGGCTCTCGAAGGGCACTTTGGTGAACACGCGCTCCAGCAGCTCCTCCGGAAAGCTCCTCCACAAAGTGGACGACAGTCCCGACGACTCGTCTGCCGCCTCTGCGCTCGCGCTTCGGCTCGAGCACGGCTCCGTGGGCGGCGAGGGCCTGCGGGCAGAGGTGATACGAGCGGAATTCAGAGCCTTTTACGGCGAATGCGATCGACGAGCCGTCAGGGGCATCGGGAATTGAATTGACGAGGAATGCATGGAGCCCGGAAGCGCTCAGTGGCAGGTCGAGCCTCAACAGCTCGACTGACAGAGGAGGCCGAGAAAACCCTAAGAACACGAGATTGCTGAGAGAGGATTCGATCTTCGCGGAAATCAAGAAGGTCATCATCCGGCCTGGTCGTAATGTGATCGTACCTGGTCATGATCGCCGAAGGTCGATCGTCCCAGGTCTGACTGGCTGGCTGGCTCCAATGTCGGCTCTCGACTCTTGCTTCCTCCGAAAGGGGGAGACACAATTCGGCCAACAGCAACTGCCACTGCCGCTGTGCAATTCGAGGCAGAACGAGACGAGGGCGAGGGAGCGGAGCGGCGCGGCAGCAGAGTGCGAGGACGCGAACACCGAAAAGCTTCCACGGGCGGAGAAATTGGAAGCTTCTCCCGCCGCAGCTGCCAAGAGCCCGACCGAACCTCCTCGAGCTCTAAAGCGAGGCTCTACAATTCGCACCCATACATTCCGGCTCTAGGTCAACTCCTCCGAATTCTCGATGCAAGGCGAGCACAGTCCTCGATCGACAACCCGAATTCGATCGCGCGGCAGCGGAAGACCAGCAGGCGGCGCAGAATCTTCGAGAACCTCGACAGCCCCCGATGCAATCAGTCCCCGAAATCCGAGCAATGCACCAAATTGCCGTCACAAGGTCTTGCCATGAGGTTGACGACGACGACGACAACGGAGAACGAAGCCCTCGTCCCCATCCATGAATATGCCCAGCCCCAGCCCCAACCCCCAAGCCCCCAAGCCCAAAGCCCGGGAACCACAAGGGACCAGCTTAACGGTTTTCTTGAAGTTGGTGCGCGGTGAGGGAGAGGCGAGAGCGACGGTGGAGGGGGCAAAACAAGAAGCGCTGCCGGGCTGCCACATGAGCCCCTGACCTTTCTGCTGTCGTCTAGTACGTAGTCCAGAGAACCCAGTCAGTCAGCCTCGGGGCTTGCCCCTCGACCGGTCCTTCCCCCGCTACGTGCCCTGCTCTGGGCGGGGCCTATGGCGATGCACCATCTCTTCAACCACGTACCATCTTGAACTCCTGTCATCTTTCGTACTGAGAGATGGTTGGGATCCGCACAGCGTTGGATTGGAAGGAAAAGCTGTTCTTTCGATACACTCAAATGGACAAATGGACTCTTCTCTTGTAAGTTTGTTTCTTGGTCATACAAGATGTAGAGACAACACATGAATGATCGATTCTGTAGCAATTGCTTTTGCTTAAGAGCTGCATGGATGATTTCTTCTACAACATCTATGGAATTGAGTCCAATTTGGGTTTTTAGTTCATGAGGTATTATATTCCAGTAAAACTTTCAGAAATGATATTATTGCTATGCTTTATCAAAATATACGAAATTCTGCTTAATTTTGATATATATAATGTTAGCATATGTCCGAGTTGGTACGTCTTTACATCTTGTTGATATCCAAGAAAAAAATATTTCTTGGAAGTAAGATCTACTTGGATAAATCCAAGTAAAAATGGATTAAGAATCAAGATACATTGATATACTCAACATTTTTCTAAATCTACATGGATCCACAAGCAAGTAATAGAATACAAACAATAGATTAAAAAAGATTTTAAAATTATTATCATTTCTAACTTTTTCTCCTTGCTTTATTGCTTAATGGAAAAAAAGCAATGAGATAACAATTGGAGCTTACAAAATTATAAAAAAGAATTTTAACCTATTGTAATGTATAGATTGATGGTTTCACGCAATGCAGAAAATCTAAGTGATTTAAGAGCAGCTAAAATCTTCTTTTTTTTCGTGAAAGGTTGAAAAACAATTAGTATTGATATGAGTGAAGCATGTGAGTGAGGAAATAAAATTTCTAAACAAATTAAAGTAAAATATAGTAACATTGTTATACATAGAGAGTTATATATAAGTACATTCAAAGAAAAAACTGGAATACATAATAATTTATTTGACACAATATGATATGATATTATGAATGTTATTGATTAAACCATTCAATTTGGAAGTAAATTGGATCTAAAAAGTAATGTATATCAGAAATTATAGAGTTTATAAACAATATCTAGTTCTTATGAAAAAAAATTATTTCATAATTTTTTTAAATATGATATGTATTTATCAAAACTTATAAATGATATTTTTTAATCCAAGATCAAAATTTTACATTAAAAAAATTTTGAGTGACTTTTGAATAAAGTATGAAGAATCCAAGCTAATTGAAAACATGATTGAAATTATGCATTGATCACTATCAATTGAATCCAAAATCGGTAAAAAATATATATTCATTATCATCACAGAAAAGATAATTTATTAAACATGTTACAATATTTACAGCTTCAATAAAAAAAATCTTATTCTAAAATAGATTAGGTCAGCAAACTGCGCATCCTCTCAAACCGACACACAATAAATCAAATTGGCTTAGTATATTGTGCAACACTTATGACATTGTTGGATTAACATCTCAAAATCAACTTTTTTAACAATTATATGGTAAATCATATTTTCTCAGCTTACTACTGTGACATTAGATTGAGCTTTTCAAAAATAGCATTTTGTTGCAAAGTATTAATCATGGTGAAGTGACAAGTTATCTTTCTCTTCTTGCAATGTTTTTTAATTCCTTAGAAGTGTACTTTATTATTTTATCAATAAGTGTATAGATATCACATCTTGTGTCTAGTTTGGATTTTAAGTTGGATAATCAATTTAACAACTTTATGTAGACCTCAAAATTTTGTATGAAAAGTAAAATTCACACAAAAATTTGAATAATCATCAATAGAAGATATATATTATAATATACTAAAAAATAAATGTTGGAGAATTTTTTTCAACACTATCATGTATACATTCAAAAAATTAATTTTAAGTTGTGAGTTCTACACTAAAAAACTTTATTATGATACTTGTACATAACAATGTTCACAAAATTTCAATCAATTTAATATATTGTGGGCTACAAGTTGTTGTCATCAAGTAGTATCAAGTACATATTATTCATGTCGTAGGTCAAACATAAATTCTCAACTTAATCTACTCAAATTCATCACATACGGTGTACTAGGCAACAAGGGAGAAGCTCACTCAAAGATATAACCTAGAATAGTTCTACTTTTCCTAATATAAATCTTATCAACATGTACAAAAATATTACATCTTTATCCTATCACCCATTTCACTTCTAGTGAATTGATGACATGATCAAACAAGTACATGAATTTTTGATGTAGTGATTTTCAACTAACACTTTCAAATTTTATTTAAGAAAAACACGGATTCCAGAAGTGTTGTTGTCATCTAATACACTTTATCTCACTTTCTATGAAATCCATGAATCGTTCACGTGGTAAATTTGGATAATGTATTATAAAATAACTATAATCTCATTTTGAATAACCTCTACTTTAATTCTAACAAACTAAAGATGATCACATACGATACAATAGATTGTATAAATTGTTATGATTCTATCTAATTAATATAGTTTTATCACATATTTTCACTTCAAACATTCATTTTTTATAATTTAATTTAGTTATATTAGATATAAAGCTAAATTTTTTCAATAAATATTTTATTTTATCAAAAATTTCAATCAAAAAAGAATCAATATTTTCAATTCAAAGATTAATCATTCATTGTAAAAACTTGACCTACTGATATTCAAAATGTATAAAAAAATTCTTAATATATAGCAGATTTTATAAGATCATACATCATCAATTTTTTATGTATTGCATAGCGCATTTTTTGACATCATACTTTTTTGAGCAAATCATTCTGCTCAAAATTAAATTATTGAATCACGTTGATTAAATTAGTATAATAAATTCTGATCTTCAATCAAAAATTTTTTTCTTTCAATTGATTAATATTATATTTTTTAACATGTAAACATTAATTTTTAACTATCAATATTCAGATTTTGATCTACGTTTATCAAAAAATTGCTTGTCATCCTTGTCATTTTGAGAACATAATCAACCTTGAATTGTGTTGAGTCTCATCCCAGATGAAAGAAATGACATCAATATATTTTATTATAAATCATTTAAAATTTTCTTGTAAAAGATGCTTATCAAAATGAAATAACACATATGATATTCATTGTGGTGTTATGTTCATTGATTTTGTTATGAAAAAAGTTAAGTGCTTGGTTTGCAATAATTCAAAATCTTCTAACTTTGCATCAAGATCCATCATTTTTAGCTCTCATAGATTCTGCGTTGTTACTAGTGCTACTATTAAAATTGCATATATAATTAAAATTAGTAGCATTGGCATCAACTCCACATTTAAAGAGTTTTTATTTCAATCAAGAATTCAAACTACATACAAGGAATGGATTTTTATCATAGTATTGCTTTTGATGTTCATTATTGATATTTTTTTTCTCCAAGACCAAGTATGATATGTAACATTCAAATTGACACTTGCTAAAATTAACATTAGATGACAATTTAATTGATCATCAAGATTCTTGAAAATTGAAATCTATTGATATGTTCATGTGTAAACATCTTTTCACATAATCTTTCAATCCATCTTTCCAACACAAACTCTCATTGATAGATGGTCCTCTAAATCCTCTATTGATAAAACAAGTTTTCATTCAAAGATCTATCAAATTTTCTTCCGAGTCTAATTTTTACTTCTTTATTTGTATTATCCAAAAATTATCTTAAGAATACATAATGATTATCAATTGACTTACTTTCACTATAATTAATGTTGATATGTACAACTGAGTCTTATTAGAAAGATAACATATCAACATGTCAATGGAATATGTATATTTTGAGAAAATTCATTTGACAATCAACATGTTATTAGAAATGTTAAAACTTTTAGAACCTCAACTTTGCTTTTAAATCAAACTTTAGCATTAATCTAATAGATAAAATTTAAAACAAAAGTGTATGATGAAGTCAAGACAAGTATATTCAATGTTTGTCTAATAGATTTAACATAACAAAGTTAAAATAGTTTATACTACTTTGATATCACATTTCAAATATTTTGCAATTCAATATTCAATCGTATCATAAAAAAAGATCATCAATTTTTTAGCACAAAACAATAAACAACCTAATGTATTTGATAATATGCACAAAACATGATTGTTTTATCTATAGTCAAAGTGAGTAGCTAATCCAAGAAAGATGCACTGAAAGTTTGAAAATGGTTTTTTTAAGGTACAGACTAGGGTCACACTCGTTTTTGCTACGGCCACACCCGCCCGCTAATTACCATGCACATGACCGCTTTTGCTACTACCCAAGCGCACTTCTGCTACAACCCAAGCGCACTGCTACTGCCCAAGCCCCAGCTTCACGGGAGACAGCAACGGCCACAGCGGCCCCGCGCCCCTCAAAGTTTCTCGACTACGCTCTCCTCTGCCTCGCGAACGAGCTCGGCTTAGCAGCTGGGTGTGGGTGAAGGTGTGCTTTGACGCGCAATCAGTTGTTTGTATGTAACTGGTGTGACCGTAGCAAAAACGGGTGTGGCCCTAGTCGTCCCTTTTTTTTAATGATTCAAAAGTACTTTGAATTATGACATTTTATTTCGTGTTTTATATTACAATGCCAAATCATTGCATGTTACATTAGAGCTAATTGCATACAATATCTGTACAACAAAAAAACTACAACTTGATATTTAATCTTAGTGATGAGTGCATTAACTCATCACCAAGAGTGAATAACTATAACTATATCATTAATTTTTGAAAAATAACCCAAAAATAATTATACAAATTATGAAGTTTCAATCTTCGGAACATTTTGCTCATTAATTCATGTTCCGAATTTGTAAACTTTACTTGTGAAGTTTGCAAATTCACAACATGAATTAAGTAGTAAATTTTTATGATTCAATTTAGTTATTTGTGATATCCATATTCATTAGTATTAGGATTTAGTTTAATTCCAAAGCTAAATTATAACTGTAAACCTTAAGACTATAATACTGGAAGCATTATAGTGTAACACAGTTCATTGTGTAAGATAGTTCACAAAAACTATATGTTACATTTTCAGTTTTTTGTCACTAAGCTTGAGTCAATCACGTATAGGTAGTCCAAATTTATAAATAAAGTAGATAGGTGTGAACTTTTGAATTCACAATCTATTTTGTAAATTTTCATAACATAATTTCTATAAATTATTGATATTTATAATAAAAAAATAAAAACTTTTATCTTGTGTTTTGTATATTTTATTTATAAAAAATAAAGAAAATTTTATTTAAACTTTATTATGTTGAAAATTTATACTTTTATTAATAAATTTAATTTAATTTACGATAATTCTAAGAATAATTTCTAAATAAAATTAATTGTTTTCAAATTAATTATTAAATTATATTATATTATATTATATAATAATAATAATACATTTAATTGATGAAATGAAAATTTATTGAAAATAATTACATTTATAAAAAAATATTATTTAAAAAATTTTATAAAAAATTTAATATGATAGAAAAAATCACATAAGTTATAAAATAAAAAAGTTATAATTGAAGAGAAAAAATTATCAAAATATATTTTCAAAAATCATCGTACCAAAAAAATAACTATGGGAATAAAAAACATTCAGTTTTTTTAATAATATATTATAAAAGGATAAAATTTATTTTAAATAATTGTTTAAATCAAACTTCTACATGTATCTCTTTATACAAATTTCACAATAAAAATTGAAACATCTTCTGATAATGATGATATATCGAATTGTTTATCAAGAACCAAAATCAATATTAAAAATTGTAACTAAGTTACATGTTTAAAAATAAAATAAAAATTTTTACATACAATTTTAAAAAACACAAGTTAGTAAAAAAGTTTATATAAGAAAAAATTAATTTTTTAAAAATTATCGAGATTTAAAATATACAATTACATCAGATCTTTCAGTTTTGATGAATTTAGTTCTTAAATTTTCAGAAAAAATTCCTTGTTTTTTTAATTTTTGCTTCAAAATTTTATATTTATTTCCTACATCCATTTTATCAAATAGAATATCTCAACATTTTCATCTCATTTTTTTCTTATTGATGAAAAAAAATCTGCAATATAAATGTAAATAAGGGCTAAGAAATCAATAAGATAGTTCTATAAGATTACAGAACAGATTTTTTAAAACTTCATTTGAAGATTTTTATTATTAAATGCAGAAAAATGAAAAAAAATATCAATGTTAAATTATAAAAAAAAAGAAAATCTATGTTCAAATCGTTTTTAAAAACGTGATTTTAGAAAAGTATATTATTTTCATTTAAAAAAACTAGTGACTACAGTCATATCTGAAAACTAGTGACTACAGTAGAAAATATTTAGCCACAATCCATTAACATGTGATAAATAATGAAAAAACCGTTATTCGATAATTCGTTGTAAATAACATCATCATCATCTAATATAAGTTTTTAATTTATTTTTATGTTATAGATAGAAATTATAATAAAGTTTATTGATGATTTTTACTGCAACAATAATTATATTTGACTTGGACTTCTTTACATAAAATCCAAATTTCTAACTTTCACTTCAATGACCTTTACTTTAAATATATCCATGATGAAAACTTCTACTCTTATAATATTATATATTCACTCATTCATATTTGATCATACATAATGAAGAAATTCATGAAGAAAATGTAATTTAACAAAGGAAATAGTTTTCTGTTTTTTATATAAAAAACAGAAATTTCTATAAAAATTACGTATCTCACAAGCAGTTAATCTAAATTAAGACCCATAGTTAATATACCAATGACTAAACTGAATTGAATTTTTTAATTAATTTTGAAAAAAAAAAATTTTTAAAAAAAATTAGAAGTTAGCTTGAAAATTTACAAATTTAGCATAGTCATACATCCTTACGGAATGCATTAAGTATAAAATATCAACATTCTAATTGAACTATTTTTCTTGAAATCATATTCATGTAAAAATATATTTTATTTCTGATGACCGTTTTTCAAGATAATCAATCTCAATTCACTGAAATATCGTATATTTTTCTCAAACATCTTGTTGATCTTCATTGTGTAGCAAATTTGATTCAAATATTGTGACTTCAAATTTTTTTATTTCAAAGGTTAAGAAATGATTGTTGATTCTAATTTTATTAAAAAATTGATGACATTTTTATATTGAAATAATTCAATATGTTATTTTTTATTTTAGTTTTTTATTTTTTATTGGGTATGAAGAGTCATACAAATTACCTTACATTGCATTGTCTAACATATAGCAAAAGCTTGTTAGCTTGGATGTATGATAAAACAAAAATGAATAGTTTAAAATTTTTTTTCAGCAAGAACATAATGAGATTTCACAATTGATTATATTACTATTATTTTTTGAACATTATGACATTCAGTACATTTTTAATTATTTAAGAAAAAGACAAAAGATTTCAATCTAAGTTTTGAAAAAGAAAAAAAAATTCATTTTATATTTCAAATGAAAACTTGAATTGTATTTCGAAAAAACTTCAAAAACTTTATACTTAATATTCACGCCTACTGTTAAATTAATAAAAAATCAAAAAATATCAAAGATGTTGTGCAAACATATATTACTGTGAAGACCAAATATGCATGTGATTATAACAATTTCATTTATTCAAAATATCCGTGATCATAATACCAAAGACTTTCCTATATGATATAAATGCGAATGAAGGTATGATATGTATTAGCAATAAATTTGACAAGAAAAAGTATTATATAATGTATCAAAAAGCATTTGCTAATCACTGGAAAAAATACTTTACATTCTAAAAAAACTATATAATTTATTTAGAGTAAGTAAAAAAATTCTTGGACCAAATTGACATTCAAAAAATTCTTACAACGCTTTTGAAGATTATCAATTTTCTTTGTTTACAAAGATGGTAAAAAATGTTTACAAAATTTCATGCAATACATCTAAGGAGTTTTCTAGAAGATTCAAGATATGTAGGGAATAATCAAAAGCATATTCAATGTAGTCTAAATGGTCCACACAGTTTGTGGGAAAAAATGAAGATTGGTACAATAATTGAAACATCATTTTTGCAAGTAGATTTCTTCGGTAGTATGTCTGCTGATTACAAGAGTTGACTGTACAACATGTACCACTTTTAAAAAAATCCTGCTTTTATGAGAATGTGATTATTTGATGTCCATATATTCTTGCTAAATGTTTATAGATGAATACGATTGTACTCATTCAAAAAACCCTCAAAGACAAATCCATGCTTTATAGCTGTATAATTGAGAAAAATACATACTACAGATGGCTTATATAATTGTTGGTTGTATCTGAATTTTTGTAATTTTTTAAAGCTTGAGCTTTTCACTTGAACTCCACAATTTATACGACGCATCCTTACGGTTACACCAAAATATAGATTTATGGCAAGATTGTGAAATTATTCACGGTTTGTCTCCCATAGAGCGTAGGAGCGTATATCTTTGTATTCTCTGGTGGTGACCAAGGTTTTGAACAACAACTATGGTATAATCTAGTCTCTTATGGCAGTTTGTACAGACCAGATTGGCAGCAATTATCAAATTGTCAACGTGTTTATATAACCAAAGAACCTGATAAACTTGAATTTCTTTATTCTGAAACATCGAACACAGCTGTACTCGCATGTTTGTCATTAACACTAGTAGAACTAACGCTACGTACACATAGCCTGTAAATTTATTCATTGACTTACCATAGGCAGAGGAAATAATAATCTAACGTCAAAGTGGAAAGGCGTTTTCGCCCATTAGGGGTTTAACTTAAACCCGGAAAGCATGTATCTCACTGTACAACCATTTTCACTTTTACAATCTTTATTTCGATGCCATGTCGATTTCAGGTTCTTAGAAAATATAGAGTTTAAACAAGGTATTGTTCAATATATTGGTAGACAGATCAACCCCAAGTAACCCAAAGGTTGAAAAATACAATACAAGTCAAACATCAAGACTAACACCCCCAAATATGAACCCCGAGTTAGTGCTAAAGCATTAGAACGATAACTAATCATCTACTTAATATAAAAATCCAAATAAAAAACACTAACTTTAATTAAAATTAAAAAACTCTCCACATCAATTTCGATGTCGATCGAGCGAGGCCTGCGCCACATAGGCATGGGCACGGCTCGCCAACGTCTAACCGGCTAAAACTCTTTGTTACCCGGCTAGCGGATTATACAGCCGGCTAGCCGTCGGCTAATCGGGTCACAGATAAATATTGCCACCGATATACGAGACCGAAAACTAGGACCGATTTACGTTTTCGGCTGATTATTTCGTCTTCTCTGGCCGAAATTATCCAATTGAATTTATTTCGGCCGAATATTTCGGTTTATCGGAATTTCGCGCTATAGCCGATTAGCCGAAAGTTAGCCGGCTACGTGCCGATGCGTAGCGCGACATGGTCGCGTGGATTCGAAGGCGATGGATTGTCGCTCCAGGAGTCCATCTCTGTCGCGGCGCACGTCAGCGCTGCGCAGCGACGACGGACTTTCATGCTCGAGCTCGTCGGCCCCTCTGAGTCAAACGCAGCACGGCGTGTTGACTCGATGCTCGCGGCCGATCAGAAGCTATCGGCACCGAGGTGTGATCTCATGCTACGTAAATCGCAGGCCGAGAGTAGTGGTGGTGGCCCGGCCTTGAATCTCGTCTTTTGATCCATCGAAAATTGTGGGTCGATTTCGCGTCGCATAAAGCAGATCCCTTGAACGAAGGCCGGGAGATGGAAAGCACTTCCCTCACTGATGACTGCGTCGCGACACGAACGCACGAAGAGAAAAAAGCGACCTCGGGCCGCTTGTGCTTGACCGAGCGCAACGCGCAGCTGCGGGTAGACAAAGCGGGAGTCCCACCTGCCTTCGCTTTTCGCTCATTCGGTGTGTTGATCTCGATCGTACTTCAGGTGACTCGTTCCACAACCTTTCGGTCAGTGAATTTCGTGCGCCTTGCCGCGACTCCGCCTGGCGACTTCAGTCTGCCCGTCGGATGCCCAAGTCCTAGAAGGTCTTCTAGAAAAAAATTCACAATAATCAAACTTTATTCCGAGTACTCGATCGATCGATCGCAGCGTGGACTGTTTCCTCGAAGTTTGAGGTCTCCCTTCACCTCTCAGAAAGGGCCCGTGTTGCGTAGTTGCCTTGTAGAAGGTGGAGAGGAGAGTCCACACTTCAGCTGAGGATGAGAGAGAGAGAGAGAGCTATGCCCGGATGCTAGTGACCTGATTCAGATTGTGCTGACAGTTCTGACGCAGTTTCAATTTCATTGAAGCTATCGTTAGTTCTTCTGACGCAGTTTCCTTTTCGTTAAAGCTATCGTTAGTTCTTTTTTCTTCGCAGGTATGGAGGAAGAGTGAAATTGCTCAAGTCGGATAGGAGTACCTTCAAGGATTCAGGGAATTCTAGCTCGATGCAGACACGCTGTTTTCCATATGACGAATGAAAGGTTGCTTTAGCAGAGAGAGAACGGTCAGTTCTGTAGTGGAATTGGAATCTCGAAAGGAGGAACGCTGCTGACAATTGCACGGCTTCAGGGTTTAAACGGGGCGAACTTTAGGGTTGGACGAGGAGTTTGATCACGCAGGTGGCAGTCAGTTTGATTCGCTTATGACTGTTGACCGAAGGGTTGTCGTTGGGAATCCTTGTGCATATTCACGTTGTTGAAAGGATCGTAGGACGATTGTGAACAGATTGCTTACGGTAGAAATAAGGAGCTTTTTGTTTCACTACGAGGATACTTTCGGTGACGGGCTTTCTCGGTCACCTCTCGTAATTTTCACTCGAGAGCTTACTAGAAGTGATTTGACGATCACCGAGACATGTGTGATGTCCAGGTGCTACGAGAGATTATTAACAGCGCACCGCACCCCGAGTTCGTAGATTACCTGAGGTGTCGAGGAATTGGTGTGACCTATTTTCACAACATTCAGAAATCTCTTCGGAGGGCGTGAGCGAGTTACGCGGTGATCTCTCTGAGAGTCTGCGATTCATGGCCATGGAGGTCAGCGATGAAACTTTGACTATCCACGTTCAATACTGAGCACATCTTCAGGCGCTCTAGCCGGAAATCCAGGACTGTGGAGAAAGTTAGAAAATTAGAGGGAGCTGATTGGTATAGGCTCAGGAGAGTAAGCGATGGGCAACAAAGCGTTCAAGAGCCGGCCCAGATATGTCAGAATTATGGAAACTGGCGGCGAATTTCTCGAGTTTGAGCGGCCAGTGGAAGTATCAGAAGTGATGATGCGGTACCCCAATCACATGGTGGTGCACTGTTTTCCAAACGACGGGAATTCCACGGACCCCGCTGGTAGATCCAGAATCACGATCATGCACCCGGATCAAGAGCTTGAACCGGGGGAAGATTACATCCTACATCTTGTTCCACCACACTACCGCAAAGTGGTGTTCAAGAGTTTGAGTCAGCCATCCCCACGTAAGGCAAAGAAGAAAGAGCCGAAATACAGGGTCTTGCGGATGCTGTCGAGGCAGAATCTCACTGCCTTTTTCCCCAAGCATTCTCGGAGACAACACGGCAGGAGCGAATCATCTCTATCAGATCTGATAGATCAGGAAAATCAACCTCAAGTTTGTGTATATATGGGATGGCAGCCAAGTTTGGAATCCATACTGGAGTGTTCATCTGAGGAGGAAATCGATTAGACATGGACAGCTCATAGTTACCTCGTCCCACAGGAAATAGCAATTTGCTCAATTTTGTAGGCTTAGGTTTTTTGCAGTTTTGATTGAGGTCAGAGTTTGATGTTGCAGGTAGTAGAAGTAGTGGGATAGAAGTTGTAGGTAATGTCAGGGCTTTGAGGTTTACTACTGGTGATTAGCCCCTACCTTTAGATGCAAGTGTTCTATATGTAGAGTAGATAAGGATCATCTTGAGTTGAGTTGTAGATTTGGTGCCCAGGGAATGTAGTTCAGAAGATTGAAATTAATAGGCCCCTGCATATAGGTAATTTACCATGCTAAGGGGGTCTCATACACTTATCGCGAGTCATGTGACGCGAGAAATGTGATCATGACTGCGTATTTGTAACATTATAGAACAGGAGTCTGGTTTTCCAGAACTAAATGCTAACTTTGTTTCTGCGCTTCGACCTTCAATTATCGTGCATTGTTTTGTCTGAACCCATACTGACTACTGTAGGGAGATTAAGTTATTAATCCCAACTTAAAATAGAGAGGAAGTCGTTGATAAAAAAATCTTCGATCAAACATTGTTATTAGTCATGGGCGGAAAGGAAGATATTGCTCCTAATCCAAATTTTCATGAGATCAGGCTCCTGCGACACACTGACAAAGTCATGTGCTTGTTAGTGTCAAGGTTTTAGTTCAGAATAGCACGTCTCAATTCAATAAATTATGTCCTTAACTGTTTGGTGATCCTTCTTCAGTACGAAGACACAAATTGCCTTTTCGAACTGCTAAGTTTTCACAGTGTACATCCAGATTACGAATTCGAAAAAGCACGTCTGTGACTGATGTCCGTAATTCCGATTTTTTATTGCCTCTTAATCTATAGTTAGAGCAGGCCTGCGTAGGTAGAAGTCCATATTCTAGACTGTCGTACTCTACCGGGTATTATAGCAAAAGGATGGGAAGTATCTAGACTCACAAGAAGCCAAATGAGACAAAAGAATTCTGCTGTCATGTTCTCTGACGAAGTTCTCCTTACAGTATTCCCCTGCAAGCCTACCATGTCGGCGAGAACTTAATCGGGGATCGATTGTTGGGGCTTAAGAATAGTGAGGTCTAATGACGTCTTCGTTTAACTGTCCGTAATGAGTCCATACTGAAATCCCTAAGAAATCAACTGCCCTCGCCCTTCTCTAAAACTTGCTTTCGCTGGGTTGTTTAGATACGGCATCTTACGAGCCAGAAAACTAGGCTTAAGCTAGCCTGTATTTTCACTTGGCAAATAATACACGTTCAGGATAGGAGAACCAACGCAACAGAAAACGGACCCTTTCTTCTGCATCTACTATTAAGACTTAGATAGGGAGATGAACGGGATGTTCGAAGTCGAGTCCCGGATATAAGAAATATATGTAAACTATCATTGGGTTAAGTAATTTATCGAAATCGGCTCCAGCGACGTTCTCTACCATTCATACTGTATTGGAGGTCAGTACTCAATAAAACTGAGAATCGAACGATGTAGGTGCTTCAAAAGCTAGATATTGAGTACTTAACAATGACGAAATCTTTGGACTTGGGTGACAGAAATCATTGTCATATGGTACTGTGTGACGCATAGTTCGATAAATCCGGATCTTGTTCCCTTCATGGTACATAAGACCCTTCATTTCTGCGACCCAAGTTTCCCTGAATTTGATTTCCGCCGTTCATTACTAAACTAATTTTTACTCAACAACCAGTTGAGTGACCAAGTGTAGGCACAAGAACGCCCCCGTCGTGTCAAAACTAAACCCTCGACTCCGTAGCATTAAACTTCGCCAGTGAATAATGTCCAGAGACAGAAGACTTATTACCCCGTCCTCGCAGGACTCACAAACGACGGACATTCCAAGATCCTAAAAATTCTCTCCTGAAAACGTGTCTCGAAATCAGGTCAAGAATATTGAACTCTGCGGTGTAAGGAACATCATAACAGCTTTGGAAAACAACAGGCGCGTCAATAAGCCTGTGGATGTATGTTAAGGTTTCGATACTTTCTCGAAGTCGAAATCCGGGTACAACACTCGTTGCAGACTATCACGCCTCTTAGAAGGCGTGATAAAATTAGAAGAAAGCGTCTGTTTAGGATGCAGGGTTTGAGGATCCACGCTCAGCCACTCGTGTAATACAGCATACTAACTGCCATCACTCACAACGCAATTCTCTACAAGCGATCCACCAAAAACTCAACTACTATGAAAACTAACTGTAACGACACGATAACAGACACGACATTCAGATGTAGGAGGACAAATATATAAATAGCAACTGAGGACCTCAGTGGATCGGAAGATAGACTTGTACTCAAGCTCTTCAATCGGATAAGGAGATTCAGGGGGTTGAATCTCTTACAAGTGAATGTCCATCGCCGGTGATATCTTTTCAGCACTAGTCAGATCCCTAGTCCCTTAGTTAAATACGTCACCTTCCGAACGTACATATCTTCATATGTATCAGCTCCGAACCGGTGGCATCTTTGGCAGAACTGAAGACAGTTTCTGCAGTGGCAGATAAGGAAAGAATATCGTTCTTCATGGTATCAAAATTGTTCAGGTGATGCTGAATGACCTTCACTTGAGCTCTTCCTTGCTCGAACGCATTCTCCTTACATTGTTCTCGCATCACTCTGGTACATGCTGGCTTACACGGCCATAAGCTCACCAAAGTTTCGCATGACGAAAACGGACCCTGCAAACAGAGCTACTGCTCGCAGAAGTCTCTGCCACAATGTAAGCAAGAAGAAACATTAGAAGTGCTGAAAAATGTTAGAGGCGAAAGAAAGGAAGGCCTGACTTCGGCAACACTCAACAACTCCAGCACATAAACATGACTGAAAGAATGCCAGGTAGATGCTATCTGTTGGACTTAGCTAGTATTAGGCTCTGTGAAGCAAGAGCCGAAGGGCCACCGACCGATTACTCTGGTAATTCGGAGGATCACTGGAAAGACGAGACTGTAATTAATATCCACATCATGCCATCGGGCTGCCAACTGCGTCAAATCATCACCTAATTCAGAGAATCATAACCTTACTTGCTTAGTTTGAGCAAGTTATGATCCGGGAGGCTTGAGGGCCGGGCTCAGGTTGGACTAACAGGTTTTCAATATAGTTGGAATAGATGTCACACCTTCTACATGCCTTGCTTACCTTCTCAAATATTCTGTCCCCCACTTCTCTTCGAAACTTCTCACTAGCGAGTCTGAGTTCTTCAAGGGGAATTGCAGGGTCACCCAAATGCTCAACACAGTGAGCTTTCACACAGGTATTGAGGGAGCTCATGACGTCCTACACTTGTACAAGTCCGGGGTAGGTTTTTATGTGCCACTACAAACCAAAAGAGATCCGATTTTCGCGAGCCAAGTACAGATGCTTGTGGTGTGGAAAAGCTGCAGTGATCAGAAATAAAGCAACGATCTACGGGATGGCTAAGCATTACAAAGGAAGCCTATGTTACAACCAGTGGGTGAATGTAACGTAAATCGTTCACTGGTATGGATTCAATTGATAGGTACAAAGTGCCCTATTGGTTCCAAACGATATAAATGTTCTCGAACTCTTCGACACATTCTGAGGGTCCACAGGTTGTTATTTCTGCGGGTCATGGCAAATATTTCATATGAAGGTTGTATCTGTTCCATTCTTGGTTTTGAGTTTAACTTCATATTTCTATCTGCTCTAAACCGCTGTTAGGGAGGAAGAAATCTGACCCTGAGAGGAAGCTCTCCGGTGAATATCTCCCGAACTATCACACACAAGTCTTTCCCAGCCTGAATCCAAGTTCACCCGGCCCATATGAAGTTCTCAACATTTACGAGGAGTACACCTCCGCATTTAAGTGATAGATGGAATACTGTGTATCAAGTGACAAGGAACGCTCCGCTGCAGCTACATTCAAAATTGGCTCGAGAGGTTGGCCCGATTGGCATAAGGTTCACGCCAGCCGACGGGAAGCAGGAAAGAAGCCATCCAGGCACTATAATTACCATACCTACTGGCCGAATCTAAACCAGATCTCAGTCTCATTATGGTACGTAACCTAATTTGAAAACCAATCGAGACTCGGTTCCCCACCGATCCCTGTCGATCAACCTACATTCGTCTCACCGCAGAGGCTACATTTGGAAACTGCTCTATCACGCCACCAAGTGCCAGGCATTTTGAGATGAACAGGACTCTCATTCCAAACTATCCAGACAACAAATGAGAAATCAAAGACGCAGGAGCAGAAAACCTACCAAATTGCCGGCGAGCTTCTCTTCGTCCTGAATCTCGTTGCCGATGGTTTTCTTCACCTTCTGCCACATGGTATCATTTCTGGCCATCTTCGCTACCGTAGCTTTCACACTCGGGACGACAACAGCTGCCCTGAAATTCGATTCTGCTGCTCTGGCCTTGCGTTCGACGCTGCGCGCACTAAAATCGATCTGTCGAAGGGGAAGGGGGAACCAGGTTGCCAATTGAACGCCCTCCCGAACCGAATTCCGTGATCGGTCGGTCGGTCGGTCCGTTGGTCGGTCCGTCGGTCAGTCGCGCGACGCGAAAGGTCGTGTCGTCCCTCCCTGCGCTTTAGGGCTCCGGCAGGTTGCAACGATCCGATCCCCCTGTCCCGCAAACGGTTCCCCATCGACAGTACTACGCCAGCCACGTGGACATCGGCCGGCGCGTCTCTGGGGACTCTCTTCCTTTCGCGGGACCTTTCCAGGAATCCAGGATCCCTCGCGAACCCTTCCTCCATGAGGAGCGCGGTGCGGTTCTACACCCGGGACCGCGTTGTTCGTGTGGACCGACCGGTCAAGTTTCGTACCGGCAGTATAGAGGGCGTATAACCGCTATTGAAAGAGCTGGACTTTTGGTCTTTTCCGTCCGAGCCATCAGTCGGTAATTCATGTTTTCAAGAAATTACGAAGACGTCGTCGTTGGGTCCCTTGGGCGGGGCCATTGAACCGGTGCGGGTGGAACTGTGGAGTGTGAGTTTCTTTTCGTTGACGTGGGGGTCACGTGCTGCAACCGTCCTCCAGTCAGAATGCATCAGTAGAACTTCGTCTGGATTGCACGGGATACCTTTTGGTGTGATGACTGTCATGTGAGGGAAGCGAGCAAAATGTGAATGTGTCCGAAACTGTCGAAGAAACGAGTAAATTCGAGATCATTCGAGTTGAATGGCAGGAGAATGAGGATAGGGCATCGATTGAGAAACGTTTTTAGAGAACGTGGAGTGATCTCTGAGGATGTCTACTGTATGAGGAATGTTGTACTCTCAGAGTCGGCTTTCTGGTGTCCAAATTCTGTGTGTGTGGCTTTTTCGGTGCAGATTAATAAACACTTCAATTTGGCGTAGTGTGAAAGGATTTGGAGGTTGTAATGGTCTAGGCCTGTCCTTTTTGTAGCTGATCTTCCAACTGCCAATCTTGCTGTTTCTCTTCAATTTTCTCGAGGTTTATCGGTGTGAATGAGTCCCCGCCTAGGTTTTCCGAAAGGGAATCTACGTTTGCTTGTCGCTGGTACTCCATTGCTTAGGACTTGATTGAAGACTCATGAGAGCTCGAGGTTGTACTTAAGTGATGTCGGTGGATGAAGTACCTGCGGAATAAACTTGGACTACGGGATTGTGGATAGATTGTTCAGAGTCGTCCTTTGAGTTTACTTGCTTACGATGTTGTAAAATCCTAAAACAGGTTGCGAACGTCACAAGGTTCTGTCTGGATTGAAGACGATCGTTCTGTCCTTGTATTTGTGATTCACAATGAAATGCGCACCTCTTGGGTTCTGCAGAAACTGCAATACCTCATTCTTATTCTAATTGCATCAATTTCGTCTGTACAGTAGTGATCTTCCCCACCTGGAACGTTTTATCATGTCTTCTACCCAGACATTGTTCCTTAGTCATGCCGATGTGTGGAAGTACAGAGAGGTTGCCTACATGAGAAAGTCTGTCCTTGTCGGGTATCGTCCTCTCAAGCGTTTTGTGATCAGGTTGAAGCATCGATGCCGATCGCCTGTTGTAGTTTCCGCGATCTGAAATTCAGTGAAACTGCAGACGTTTTGGGGCAACCTAATACGCTGAAATTACTGTCTACGCGCTCTGGCTGTTAGGTCGAGATTCGATGTGTCAAATAAGTCTAATAAGGTCGCAAGAAGCATACAATTCCATTCCCAGGATGAGCTTGAGCGTGACCCTTTGCTCCCATGTTCGGGATCTGAGGCTGTGGATACGTCCGTCGAGTTTCTCGGTTTGACCTTGAACGCGGTTTTCCACAAGCCTTGAATTTGCAGTCTCTAATTCAAAGCTCTGCATTTCGGAAGTCGCATCTATTTCAGGTTTGGTATCTTCAGCCTCCTGTATCTCCCGTCATCTGTGATGGTCTCTTCCTGGACTTCGTGCGTTGTTGATTGTGCACACTGTTAGGATCCCACTACCAGACATGATACAGGCTACGATCTGTACTCACGCGTCCGATCTGAGCTGATTCTAAAGTTGAAAGCTTCCACGGTATTAGTTCCTTGTGTAAGTTTGTGGTGCAACAAAGCTGAGTTTAAAACCTGCTGCCATGAATTAAGGCTAAATTGTAAGGCCCGAGCTTCTTGTGCTTACAGTAGGTTGTGGTCCATTTATGTGACTACAGTGATGGTAACCACTCCTGGACTTGATGAACATAATAACGTAGAGAATTGAAACTAGTGTTTGGCTGCATCGGATGTAAACCTTCCTCTAACCAGCAGGAGAATCGTTTGGCGGGAATCTGTGCTGGAGTTTTCACTTGTGCGCAGATGGCTGCGAAAAGCAGAAGTAGCTCTGACGTTCTGAATGCTTTGAACGAGCTCTTCCATCCGAAACAAGATGAGGAAGATCCCGACCACCCCAAAACGCCCCCATACGTTTATCATGAGTAAGCTTGATAATTCTCGCAGTCAGTGCTTGAGCTTCGTCTGACATCGTAAATTGGAGGTCGAAGCCGCGTCTGTTGAATTTCACTACAATTGTCCACACATGGCTCTGTGGACGTTGAGGTTGAACATGTTCGTGCAAGTCATTTGTTGTGATAGCTTGTTGCGAAATTAGCATCGGAAACTCTTATAGAAAGATAGCCTAGTGGAAGCGAGGTTTCAAGTGAATAACTGGTATCGCCGATACATCGTTAGTGCCAGACTGCAAGGCTTCCTGTTCAGGACTAACAGGGGAAGAGCGGATGCCTTTGTTCTGATGCAGTGCTGATTACTTGAGAAACTTGTTGGAAGAAGCTCGGATCCTTATAAGCAAAGTCTTGCAAGAAAGCATTGATCTCACTGAGTCGACTAATAAGTTTAAGGATGAAGCGGTAAATTCACGAACCAGTCAAGCAAATCTTACTTTTCAAGACTGCAGCGAGTATAGTTTCGATACAGTCCCCAAGTTTCAAGTGTGCAAACAGCTGCCAGTTGGCCAAAGAACCGGATTGAGGGATGTCTGCTTTCCTTGGAAGGCTCCTGTCCAATGCATGTTACCTGTCGGAAGCCCGTACTTCCTGGGGCTCTGACACCATGAACACGGATATGGTCCACATATGAGCAGGTTTCATGTACAAAATGAATCAAATGTGAAGTAAAATACTAGATAATCAGCTCAGAGACTTCCTGAAGTTGAGCTGGAAGAGGGCAACACAGAAGTCCAAGCCCTGGCACAGCGCACATAAGACCGTCTACTATCTACGAGAATCCAGTATCAGTAATCATCACCAGTATGATGCATATTCTATAACATCGCAGGATGTCCAGTAAGTTTCAATTTGCTTCCCCTCGTTGCAAGTTAACTTCGAGTCGTGGATTGACCTTTTGTCGGACCGTCCATTAAAATACGTGCAGTTCGAAATTCAAGAGATGCAAACAAAGGACATTCAAGAGAAGAGAGAGAGAATTGAGGAATTGGAAGCCTTGTGCACAAAGGTAAGTGATTGTGAAAATATATTTGTACCAACTATACCAGTGCTGTATGGTATCTCTCTTAGAAGCCATACTCAAACTCCATCCAAAGTGACGCGGTATGTAGTATGTCTTGCTAACCGGGGCTAGCCGAAATCAAAACACATCAGTGAACAGATATATGCTTATTTTTTGTCCGGTCATTTTAGGGTGAGCCAATGAATGTTCTCTGAGCTGAATTTGTAAGTACATCAATAGTGCAGAAGGATGAAGACATGGTAAAGCAGAAGGCTGATGCAGCTCAAGAACTTTTTGAAGCATCTCAAAGACTCAAAATCATCAACCGAAGGCTTCAAGATACTTTGGGGAAGCGAATAGAAGAACTTCAGACCTTGCTCACTGGCGTTCAAGACTTTCGAGACCGGCAGGTGCATGACTGAAGGGTGAAACCAAAACTTATGTTCCTTATGAATTTTGCTGGACATCTAAAGATTTCGACATCCATTTACATCAGCCTTGACCTTCAACACTGCGAGGTGTACGAAAGCTCATGCGTGCATACGTTCAGGTGGAGGTTGAGGGAAGAATGGCGGCAGCGGAAGAGTACGCTTCTAAGACGAAAGCTGAAATGGAAAGAATGCTTCCTGATCTGGAGAGGAATTTCTTAGAAAAGGTAACACTCGTTACTTGAACATTGCGGTTGAAACATTTGGTCCACTTACCCCACGAAAATAATAACGTAGCTTAACATTGGCGGACCACTGGTGTCATGGCTCACCTTCCACTTTCATACCAATTCAGTGTTGTCTTAACATAGACATTAACAACAATGACTTATCTTACAGTGCAGTCAGCACGAGAAGGAATTTGAGAGGAAGTTGGAGGAACTGAAGGAGCAGCTGACTGCAGAGGTCGAAGAACGAGTTGGAGAGCGAATGAGAAATATCCTGGCCGACGTGATTATCCTAGTTCTTAACTCTTGGTTGCTTAAGCACTAGTCTTAATGATTACAAGTAATTCTTTTTTAACTACACCTTTTGTGGGGGGAGCATACTAGCTTTATGACTTGCTCTTCGATTTTTTAATTTTCATCTCTGTTCCAGATTAGTCAGAATAACCAGGACCTGACCTGGTTACAGATACAGCTTAATCCATGAATTATGCTTCTTTTGCCTCTTTTCTTGCCATGTGAACTCACTTGACACTTCAAGTGAGTTCACATGGCACTAATGTTAGTAGAGGAGCACTTGCATGATCAATGGTTATCAAGGGGGATGCGAATGTTTTGATTGTTGTCACCGTTTTTTCTACATTTTTATAACCGTGCATAAACCCATATTTTGGTGCAGAATGAACAGCTTATTAAGGATGTAAGAGTTCACGTGGGAGCCACAGACGAGCTCACGGAGTTGAAAGATGAATTCCAAGCCAAAAGCACTACTCTGGCAATGGAAGTTGGACTTTTGAAGGCATCAGAGGCTTTGCATGTGAAGAGGGGCAGTGTCCAACATCATCTGGTCGAAAGCCACGCATCAAAGGTGCAAGGATTGTCTTCTCAGTGAAGTTATATATTTGCTTATCAAAACCTAAACTTTGTTATCAACTTTAGCCCAACTGATTTGCCGAGAGACGATGTGGTTTGCAGCACTGTTGGAGATCGAACATGAACGTGGAAATTTATGGACCATCTGGCTTACACTCGTAACAAATTGTAGAGATATTGGATATATATATATAAACCCTTCAAATTGGAAAATGAGCTTCATGATTTTCGCTGCAGATATAGATAGCAGAAGCAGATTCTCTCTGGAGCACACGGATATGGCTTGTTTCCAAATCCATATTTTTTCGTAGTCATGATGTGTTTACTCTATAACCCGTTGGATGCATAGGTAGCGATGTTGGAGAAAAGCTTGAGGCAGATCATACGCCAGTATAGCAACGAGAGAGCTCAGCTCGAAAATAGTCATACAGAAGTTCTGCTGGGTCTCGAAGCTGAAAAAACGGTTTGGTTCCTCCAGCCTTCAGATTATCTGACTACAACACATAATGATACGATATCCTGGATCAGTCCACTGCTGTACAGTGATTTTGGTGTCCAGGAGAAACCTTCTCGTGTTCTGCTTTCTTTCGGTATACTGATAGATATATTTTGTACTAAAGGATGAAAGGAATTACTAATGGATTGGATCTGTTAATAATGTACAGGTTCTAAGGAATTTGGTACTTGCAAAGACCAAAGAACTCAAGAGACTTCGGCATCTTGCGCAGCATGTGGTGAACCAGCGCTGTGACGTTGAAAACTTTCTTATTGAATCTTTGGAATACATCAGAGAGCAACTTGCTGCTGCTCGTAGTGGAAAAAGCAAATACGCAGATGACAGAAGGATGAGAGACGACAGTAGCAGTGAGTCCTCGGGATTCCTCCCGTCAATCAAGTCCACCCCTCGCTCAATGCCCGGTGCCCCAAGCTGCAAAAGCTCCCAAAAAACCAGCAAGGCCGATAGAAATTTCAACGGTAGACTTGATAACCTCAAGTCGAATTTCCATCAGCATGACGAGTTCATTAAGCAGCTACATGAAGTAGACGGGCCAGACCAACTCGATCTGAGCGAAGACTTCTCCCATGAAGTTCCTAGGATCACCCCCAAAGTGGACATATCTGATTTATCTTGGTGTGACCGCGAAAAGGTGTTAAGATACCTTTTCCAGAAAATTAATCAAGTACATCAACCTGGTACTGTACTTGGAGACTCGGAGTCGGGATTCAAGGGTGGTAAGTCCTGCAGGAACATCCCTCACGGATTTTCCACCGCCCCTTACACCATCAGTGGAGCTGGAAAGTTATTGTGCTAGGAAAGCACGCCATGTACTACCGCTCAAGCTGGTTGTAGTTTATTTGGATCGCCATGAACTCTGGAAGTGCCGAGGACGCAAGAGGTTCTCGATAGTTTTGCAGAAGAAGCTTCAGCTTGGGACTTCCAACCCTGTAATCATTTAAGCTCGAAATAACAAAATTGTAGATTGAATGTGTGCTGCACAAGTTGAGTCCTCGTCGGTTTGCAAAGCGACTCTGTCGATATATATATATACGGACGTCAACAAAGAGTTCCTGAATCCCTCTGAAATCTGTGCGGTGCCTGGACATGCTCACACTATCCCGCACAAAGATTCTGACTCCGTGTATCGTCACCATCCATTCGCCGGTCCGTGTCGTAGAGGATTGGAGAGTATGTCAGATCTGAGCGGCGGATGTGCCAGGAAGCATCTGAGTTCTCGACTTGTCGTCCAGGCAGAAGTGAGCTCATACTAGACACAAATTCCGACTCCGCATCATTCTTCCGTCCGAATCTGGAATACGGAGACGATCGATCGATCCCTGCGAAGAGGAATTTCTGCACCGGACGAGCTGAACGAGAATTCGTGAAGCCTCGAGAGTTTAGAGAGAGAGGAGTCGATCACTTCTTCTTCGGCTGAGCCTTCTTCTTGTCCTTTCCGGCGACGGCGTCCTTGCCCTTCCCTTTGCCCTTTTTCTCGGCGACCTTGGGTTTCGCGGCCTCCAGCTTCGCCTCGAACGCGTCCAAGTCCAGGAGATCGAGAGCGGCTTTGGCCGACTCCGGCGACAGAGGAGGCCGGGATCCGGGAGGCGGGAGAATCGGCACTTTCCCGCCGATGATCGACCACCGGACTCGTCGTTTCCTGAGCGGGAACTTGAACGGAACGTATTCCTCGACGGGTTCGGGAGCCGGCAGGTCCTCCTCCGGCGGCAGCGGCCGGTCGAGGAGGAGGAGCTTCAGCTCGGCCGCCGTCGGCGGCGGCTTGCTCATGGACTGCCGGCCCTCGCCTTTCTTCAGAAACACCACCTGCGCCGGCAACGGCGGCGGGTCGAGCTTCACGCTCTTCTTCCTCTTTGCCGCCGGCGCGCCCGCTGCCGGTTGGACTGCCGGCCCGACGCCTTTCTTCTCCGGCGCCTCTATTCCCGGCTTCGTGCTCGATGAACCTTGCGGCGCTTTTGAAGCTCGAACGTCTTTCTCGTCCTTCGAAGCTCGAACGTCTTTCTCGTCTTTCGAAGCTCGAACGTCTTTCTTGTCTTTCGAATCTGCTGCTGCTGCTGCTGAAGCTCGAGCTTTCGGAGGCTGTGATTCGGCTATGGCGGCGGCAGGAAGAGCTTTCTGCTGCTGCTGTTTCGAGCCTTTCTTGCCATCTTTGATTTCGTCGATCGTGGGGGGGATTTCCGCAGGCGGAGGAGCACGGGCTGCCATGATTGCAGCCCACTCAGCCCGAAGATCGGCCCACTGCCTGCGAAATTCTTCCAGAGCCAAGACGGGTGCGCACAATGGCGGCAGGACGATTTTCTCCTCCTCCTCGACGGGCTCGGCGTTGGCCGCGGCGATGAGCGCCTGCAGAGTGGCCCTCCTCTCGTGCTGGTCCAAATGCTTGTGCAATTTGCAGTTGAAGTGGAATCTCTCCCATACCTCCGGGGCCAGCTCGTCCAGATGGTTGAGGAAGAACTCGCAGGTCGGTAGGTCGGCGAAGTACTCGTTCCACATCGGCGCGCAAGTGCTCAGCCTCTTAGAAATCATCATCAGGCTCCGCCGCACTAGCTCGGGCTGTTGGTCGCCTTCTGGCCACGGATTGAACCACAAGCTGTTCCGATTCAGTTCCGTCCACAGCAGCACTTTCTTCTTGAGCCGAAGCTTGAGCCTCTGGAAATGCCGGCGCTGCCTTCGGGCTTCTGCGATTCTTGCGAACATGTACCTCATATCCCCGATTAGGTTGCGCCTGCGGTGCCAGTTCCACAGCTCCTTGATCTTTCGAATGTGGTACTCGATCTTCTCTGGCTCTGGGTCGTACCATTGCGGCTCCCACATCCAATCGTCGGGCCTGATGTCTCGAGTGTAGCGGTAGAAGTCGTGAGTGTGGCCTCCTTGGTGCCATGGTCTGAGAATCACCTCCGGAAGGTAGTATCCGCAGTATAGCCCGCCATCCGTCTCCAGCTCTCCGTAGCGATTTCTCGGAATGCTCTTCCTGCGAATCATCTCCTGGTCCAGGACGGACTGTCGAGCTTCGAACCATACGCTCCGCTTCTTCTCGTTGTGGAGCATGGACATTGGCACGTCCCACTTTTCCAGAACCTCGTTCCACTCGTGCTGATGGTCCCATGCCGTGCACTGCTTGTGGCGGCATCTCTTGGTCCGAGTGCCGTAGACCAGGCTGTCTCGGATCGACCTCGATCGGAACTTGACCTGCATCATTCGGATCGATTCGTCCACTTTCAGTCCTTTTGTTCGAACCTTCCTCGTGCCGTAGACCAAGCTGTTTCGCAGAGATCTGGAGCGCAGGCGTATGCCCGGATCGAAATTGGGCGAGCAGCAGTGTCGATCCTTGTGGCCTCTGCCCATGTGGTGGTGCAGTGCCGTGTGCATTGCGGCGTGCATCTTGCTCAGGCCTGCGTTGGCCACGGGCCCGATGATGAACTCCGTCTCGTATTTGGTCGGCCCCTTGTAGTCATCTGGAGCCGAATGCTCAATATCGTACAACTCCTTTACGTTCTCCATGGTGCTCAGATATTGAAATCCCCAAACCTAGATGACTTGTTGAGCGATTTCGTCGATACTCTTTACATCATCAGGCTACAAATCCTGTGAATGTCCTCTCCTACGGAATCTGCGTCTCATTGCATCTGATTGTAATGTCGCACAGGGCCCTGCCTGAGAATCTCTGCGAAAGGTCAATTCCAAGGCAGTGGGGCGTCTTGTTCTTTCTTATGAAAGTCTATTGGGATGAAATCATGAAATGTTCAATTTCATGCTGATTCGGATTCAGCCCATCCTCCTTTCCTGTTGCCGGAAGATCGAACTAATGAAACCATCACTGCTGTCTGCAAAGGGCAATCGATGCAAGCAGCATTTACTTGTTGTGCTGACCAATGCGAGGTTGGTTGACACTCGTATACCCCCAGGAATCTCGACGATGGTTTTCAGACCACTGCAACACATTCGTATTTGTCTGCCCAAACTAAAGTTGGTCGGTCAAGCCGAAAGCTTTTGCGAAGTTACTTAAGCCTCATGTGTTTCTCAAATTTCCTTGCACACAATATCTGCTACTGCTGCTGTACCTCTCATCCCTGCTCCATGCTCTTCAAGATTAGATTGTGCGCTTTGGACATCCAAATAATCTAGGCGGTCTTGGTGAGTCGATATTTTCCCCGATCAGATGCATCAGACGAATGATTGGATGAAAGTACGCAGACGAAGGACTAGACTTGCCCTGGAGATCAGTGGGCATTCTTGACATTCCGACGGAACGATCAAATTGGATGCGCTGGAGTACATCGATAAAAAAGTCGATTGATTCACAAATTTTTCTCATGGGAAAAATCGTACACCGGAGAATTTCAGATTGTTCATCATCTTAAACGTTTACACAGTGGAGACCATCGTTCCCTCGGAAAGTTGTCGGTGCCTGATCGCTGCAGAATGTAATTGTGAAGCTGGTCATCATCAAAGCATCAGCGTGCTGTGATGATGGTCGCTTGCCATATTTCAAATGCCAAACCCTTCGTTCGACGTTTTCCTCCGGTACAACGTCGAATCGAAAGCCTCGAGCCCCATGCAAGCGAAATGATTGTCAACGATGGAGTAACTACACTGGTGAACTTCCAAATCGAGCACGTCTTCTCTCTGACAAAAGTCGCTATTCTGAGACCAGATTTGATTCTAACAAATCTACCATAACTCCCTATCCACTTTCCAATCTTTCGTGCCTTGAACTGGTTTCCGTGCGATCCTAATGTCACTCAATTGGAGTAAGCCCTGCGTACTCCTCTTCTCGTGCATCAATCCACGCTTCCCGCACTTGACAAATCGCTAACGAACTGATGTACCGAGACACCCATTTCAACAACAGCAATTTGTCCTCCACTCAATCATAAGAGTATCGTAAATGCTCTCTGCTTGATTCGAACAATAGGTAGGGAGCTAAATGAACATCACAGAACTGTACAGCACGCCCTTGAAGGACATGGAGTTTAGTTCGGATGCAATTGTTAATTTTGTGATCGGCAGTTATTAAGGCATGGAACAAATAAATTTGTCGGTAATTGATAAAACATGTTAGTATTATTTTCATCTCAAAAACTAAAGTGAGAAATTTGTGAACTAAGCTCATTCAGCATATGCATCATTCGTTTCTGCTTATGATTCATCGGTGTTGCCCAGAGAATGTTCGAAGCACGTGTTATAATCCCTCGAAAAGGCGGGTGATCCCATGTTGACTGTGAAGGGTAGACGAACGGACCGATTGGAATTGTAATGTTTCTCCTTGCATGTGCTTTGCAGTATTCTGGTCCTCGTGATCTCATCCACCGAATTTTCACCCTTTTCCGAACTACTGTGGCAGTTGTGTGTGCATGTTGTGGGGCAGGAATAATGTCACTATAAGGCTTGAAATGAATGAATGAACTTCATGGTTTTCCCCACATCCGGCACATGTAAAGTATTCCTTATGAGATCGGCTCCAATCCCAAGTAGTCTGTACATTTCGTTGGTATCCCCAGAAGGAAATACAATTCACATTTCTGTGCGCTTGTCTGAAATATGCATTGACACTACAATGGAGAATGTCCAGTCAACAGTCGTAATCTCACCGCTATGTACGTAAATCATTTTAATTATAGACATAGACAAGCTCAAGAGAGCAACGACACTGACATCCGCATGCGCATTCTTCGGCCTAGGTTCTTGTCACCAGAAGGCCGTATATTGGCATAAAGAATAGTGGGAGGAACGGATGTGACCTGGGCGCTAGATTTCATCGCTGTGTTAAAAAATGGTGGTCTTCTTTAAGCAATTGATTGTTATACCGTTTGTCTTTACTGAGATTGACCTTTCATTATCTCCTTGGACAGCAGCCGCTGCTGATCCCGCGATATGGTCGAGCGCAGTTACGAGAATCCGCGCCGATGTTATAAGGTCAACAGAGTCACGATGGACTCGTAGGGACTCGTCTACCTGTATAACCAGGCATGGTTGTATTAGGCGACCGTATATACGGTCGTTTAAATGAACTAAATTTCATGGTGATTAGGAGACTAAATTAAGGAACTGCGATTTGACGGTTACATGTTATAACCCGTGGAGAGTGGACACGTATGCAAAATTTATGGTTTTTTAATAATATTTTATAAATTAATGTAAAATAAAAAATTCTAGAATTTTTTAGCAAACTAAATTAATCTAATTTTTAATTTTTAGAATTTAAATTGATCTAAATTACATTTTTGATAGACTAAATTAGACTAGATTAAATTTTTTAAGAGACTAAATTAACCTAAATTAATGTTTTCGAGTAGACTAAAGTAATTTTTTCGAAGAGACTAATTTATATACATACTTGTGTATAACGTATATACATGTTTGATATTTTGAAAGCGAATGTAAAGTAAAGTTGATAGTTAACAATGAATGGATTGACTGAAATCATGAGATCTCTGGAGAGTCCCGAGTGGACTATGCCGCCGCCATGAAGTCAGTGGCATCAGGGATCCGGGTGAAGGTCAAAATCTTGATCTGGGATTTGCTTCTGTTTATTATGCAACTTTTCAGGTTGAACGCCGTTGGAAAGGCTACACCAGGTTTGAGCTGTCAGGTTGGAAAAGGAAAAACGCTTAGCTTGAAATCATGTCCAAGAATATGTGTGTAAATCTGCAGTCTCTCAGATGCCTCCACATGTCTGCAACGTTCTGAGATGTTTCAAGTTTCTGTATTCGGTTTGAATGAAGTGACGAGATCCAGCTTTAGTATATCTGATACTTCAAGGTTCCTGCCTCAGTTGAGGGTTGCCGTCCTGGTCCCCTTAAGATCTGCCACTACCACTATCAGTGCCAGACTATTTTGCTCACGTTAATATTAATTTTATCACACATTATTCATGTCAACATAAAAATTAATAAAATTTCTAGATTGTATAAAATAATTATTTTTATTTTTCAAAATATTAATTATTATCGAAATTCAAATCAAAGAAAATTACATGATATACCTTATTTTATTTTTTGATAATATTTAGATTATGTACTATAGAGAGGTAGAGTATCAAGTTGCAAGCAAATTGGCAACTTGCAAGCAATTTGCAATTGCCAATTTATTCAAAACTACCTCTCTATAGTACATACTTACCAAATACCAAATCCACTTATAATTTGGTAGCAAGGGTTTAGGGTTTAGCCCTATTATTTAGCAATTTGGTGTAGTACCAAATTGCTAATAATTTGGTAGCATATGAGTATGTCATTCATGAAGAGTATTTTTGAAAAATACTTTAAATGTTCATGAGTGTTGAAATGAAGTGATGAGTGAAGAAAATTTTTAATGTGCAACTATTCAAAAAAACATAAAAATTTATATAATACATATTATATATAGTAAATATATATAATGAGCTTTCAAAAAGTCATGAAAGATATATATGAGTTGAAAAAAACTCGGATTTCACAAGTCATACGCACATCTTCGACAAACATGATACGAAAAATATAGTTGATGCTCTATGACAATCCATTTTAATGCTATACAGAATGATTTATATTTAAGTGCCAAGATGATGAAAAGAAGAAATGTAGAAAGTGTAAAAAACGAGAGAAGTTCAAATGAAGAAGAGTCAAATATAGGTATGCGACATAGGTAAAAAGCGCCATTTTTCCGGAAGGATTAAAGTGTTGAAGTGCCAAACAGTCAAACTACTGAAGCGCCAAACTTGAAAAACCAAAATGTGGAAATGGAAAAGAGCCGAAATAAAAAAACGACGAGTCATCACTATCATAGTGCGGAAACAGAATTATGGAAATGCATAGCCGAAGACAAAGTTTGTAACCTAAACAAAAAAGTGCCGAAATGCCAAAGGCGAAGTGCAAATTCCAAACTCCAAGATTGCTAGAAACGCCAACATATGAAATGATCAAATAAATGCTCACGGACGCTTGAAAATCCGCGAGAATCTGAATCTGGAAAGGATAAGGATCTCCGCGCCTACTCCGATGGCAATGCCCACAATCCTGAGGGTAACGCCAGTGAGAGTATGTTACGAGAACCTGAGATTACACTTTGTCGAATGTTGAGACTGAATGGAAAATAAGCTTAACTTTTCCATACGGATTCAATTTGTGACTAGTGGAATGGCTATATAGAGAGCTATTCCTCACTGTATGTGTATCAATTTGTAGATTTCAAAATGACTTTTCTCGAATAGCGCAACTGCAAAAACAAGAGAAGTGTCCAAAGTGAAACAAAAGCCATATTTTGCCCAAAAATGCAAATGTAGTGCTTGTAATCTTTACATTACACATTTTTGTTACATAAGGTCATTCTACTGTATTCTCTTTTTCCAATAAATGATTTGTGGCTGCATCATCTCTTTCATTCTCTTATAATTATACAGAATTCACAAAATTCACTTCATTTGAATGTAGGTTTTAAGATAAATAAGAGGCTTTATAGCACAATTTTAGTCATGTAATTAATTTATATCTAGTACACTTACCCAATTACAAATTATTTTTTTCCAAATTCCATCATAATTGCAGGGATTTGACGCAATGTTTGCTATAATGTTCTTCACATATAAGTTTTTTTCCTTCCATATTGTCCTTAATGTATATACAGTGTTCGGATTTGACTCTGGCGTATTTGTTAAAGATTTACTCCGAACCTTTCAGTACGAGAAAGTATCTCCTGTCTTGATTAGTTTTAAGTTTGCTAAATACATTTATTGTTAGTAATAAAAACATCCATGATTCTCATTTATGACATATAACATTTCACATTAAAAACATGTATGTGTTACGATAAATTTAAACTCACCCCATATGTATCTGGTTTGTTGGGTGGTTATGTCTTGGGCGAGGTTTAACCCGACGATCACCAAATGAGCCAGCAACTGCTTGTGAGGAGCTTTCTTCAAATCGTGTACTGCCTCGTACGACATTTGGATCTGCTCGGCACCTTCCTGTGTTGCGATCGATGCTCAGCCTCTCACTGAAACGGGGCAGCTGTACTGTCCCGAGCTACCTTGGCTGCCAAATCAGACTCACCGGCTGAGAAAGTTGCGATAGGTCTGTGATGAGTTATGTCTATGGTCAGGGTGCGCTATGTCCATGGTCAGCAACTTGAGGTACTGATACGCGTTGGAACTGGCTGTATTACTTCGTCGTCATCGATTGTTCTCAATATAGTTTTTGACCTATTATTTTTGTCTCAAATTCTTATTTTCAATCTAATGATGTTTCAACCTGTAAAAGTAGATTCCAATCCAGGTAATTATTTTTCCCCATACCCCCCTCCATCATCGATTGTTCTCAATATGCGGCGGCATTGATAGAGGACAGAGGACATGAGAGACCTGAAAAGCAATCTAGTAGTCGCTCATGCTCTTGGAGTATTGTGTAGGATTTGCACAAGATGAGAACAAACTGAGTAGTTTAATCTTGAAAGCTTCGTTCGCACGCATGCACGTGGATTAGACTAATGAATCACCAAACGGAATATATCGGTTTCTGAGATCAAAGTTACTCTAGTGAATATCAGATGCATCAGATCATTGGAGCATGTTCAGGAATAGAAGCTGGAATTGGAGCAAAACAATCCGCCGAAGAGATTGCTCATGGTACTATGACAGTGCGGGGTCGTGAACGAACTGAGATCGTGAGAAATTGCTAGAGTAGTAAACATGGGGACAGTAGAGAAAGCTTTGACTGAGAAGCTGTCGGGTCTGTCAGTAGGGACAGACTTCATTCCTGAGACAGATGTGGTAAAAGATTCTCGATCAAAACGAATGAAAGGCGGGATGCATCTTGAGTCAGACTTCGGTGGAGAGCAAGATTGTGGCATTGATTCCAGGGGAGCGATGTCGGGGGTAGAAAGTTCTTGCGAGAAACTGGAGCCAGTGTTAACGGAAAATTCCTATCGACCGTCTTGCTCCAACTCGATGTTGCAGGAAAGGCAGGAAGAGGAGGCTGCTCTCTGTACTGAACACTCCGATGGCACTCCCGACGGGTTTCCCTCCATCTTACCATACGCAGATTTGAAATCTCGTCTCACGCTCATGAGGGTAAGCAAGCAAATGCGCAGCCGAGTGAATGATGTTCTGGTGTGGAGGAAGTTAGAGGTTGAACGCCCTCAAAACAAGTCCCTTACAGATGGCATTCTCATGACCCTTGTCAAGAGGGCAGGTGGATTACTGAAGAGTATGAGACTCGTCACATGTTTAATGATCTCTGATGAAGGATTAGCCAATGCGCTATCACTCTGTCCCCAGCTCGAGAAGGTTAGCAACATCTCCTGCCGAAACTTCATTTTCTTCTATCTGCAGTTTCTACTATCAACTTTGTTTCTTCCATAGTAGCTTACTCCTACAAATTCTTGCAGCTGGAGGTCCCAGGATGTATACAGCTCAATATTAATGCCCTTGTGCATACGGTGGAGCAGCACTCTGCAATGAGTCGTTCGAAAGGGATGAGCGGTATCAAACAGTTGCAAATCCTTGGAAAATTTGAAATCCAGGAGCAGAACGAGTTTACTCAGAGAGATATGATTTTGAGAGCAAACGGACTCCATTTAACGACCACTTGGACTCTTTACCAATCACCGTGGACTTGGCCTGTTTACCTGTCCTCAAGTACCATTGATGACGATCGAGCTATGGATGTTGAGAAGTGTCACTTGTGCAAATTTGGTTATGCGAAGGTTTTGTTCGACTGTACGAGGAAAAGTTGTGAGAATGCAGCAAGGATTGACACCATCAAAGCTTGCGAGGGGTGTTTCATTTGTTTGCCGAGTTGTAGTGGGTGCGGTACTTGCGTGCCTTATGACAAGGAGTTTGAGAGGGCTTGCTGCCGGCGGTACCTTTGTTTCAGCTGCTGGGCGCAGTCGCCCAAGTGCGCAAAATGTAACACCGCCATTTGCCGGCAGCACAAGGAGGATTTCATGGAGAGGACCACTCTTAGCGCCTTGTCGGGGGTATGTGAGAGGTGCGCAAATGGTGGGAGAGAAACTGACGAATTCCTCGAATTAGAAGATCTTTGTTTTGCTTTATTTGGGGATCCTTGGGGACCTTTTGACCTTATTCCGGATTATATGTAGGTTTAGGATAGGACCTGTAAGAGGTAGAACAAAACGTGTGCATGGTTTTTTCTACCCCTTTAAGGCATCATGCGAGCCAGCCGGTACAAAAGTCATCGTGTGAGATAAACGATAGAGGGCACCTGGATGAGTTCTTGGAAGGCGATTCATGCTTTGATATAGAATAAGAAGAGTCCACATAGGAATGCATGAAAACCCATCGAGCAGACCCACTGCATTCTATTCTGTTTTCAGGCACCGGACCGTAACCAGTTACAATTCTGATTCACCTGCGGCTCTGCACGAGGATTGGAAAAACAAGACCATTCATTTTTTTGAACATAAGAACTCATCCTTATACTTATACGAGCTTGCGTTTTCACGTGCTCTGCTACTATGTGCTATTGTCTATATTTACCATGCAAGCAGAGACGTCATTTCTACTGCTTCTTCTTCCTGATCAGATCGCATGGAGTCAGTAGCCTAAACTCTTTACAGAGTACCTATCTTGCTGAACATATCCACAGTGACCTCTATTTTCATTCTCAGTTTGATCTTCTATACACTTCTTATGTATCCTTCTAAACATACCTTGGGTTATCTTGAGAAGGCCCTTTACAGGTCATGATGAAAATTGCTTGGTTGCTAATTTGTTACAGAAGACTCTGAGGATTGTAGATTAGAGCGCACCTGATGAGCGCCGGGTTTTGACTAGGACAAAAGGAGATCTGAAAAATCTAAGCTCCTTGAATTATTTTTTGTTCAAGTCACGTTCAGAGAATTGCTCCAACTCCTGCTTGTTCGATTGGAGAAAAAGTCCATTTTCATTTTCACACCTAGCGGTCACCATCCATGAAAATGGATGGTGACAGCGACGTGTCTCACGAAGCAGAGTACCATTGGCTTACCTTCAGTTCGGACTGCGCAGAGTTTCTGCCGGACAAGGGCAGGAACTTCGATAGGCTATGGTCTGCACATCCGGGCCGCGTCATCCGCTATGAATCTGGTGACATCGACAATCTGGTGACCGCTTCCCTGCCCGCATCAAAGCACGTCCGGAGCTTGTGTTCAATCGCAGCTCTCCCGTGGCTTACAGAATGCCATTCATCCTCAGGCAGGACTCCATTGTCGACCCTGCTGCCTTCCGTTGCCCTCTAAACTCTTCCAACCAGCTTTTGCATGGAAAGGCTGTGGACTGGCAACAACACAATGAGTGCACAAAGAACGCCTACTTGTAGAGGACACGGCACTCAGATGTCTCGCCCACTCTCAGTGCTTGTGTAATAAACCCCTTGATCGATGGACTTCACAAGTGTTTGCTCGATAAGAAGATGATACCGAACGAAGTCTCGACCTACTCATCCATCCGAACTCAAGAACTGAAAGGAGCACTGATCGCTGTCCAACCAAGCGGATGTGCTGGTTTGGGATTTGCAGATTATATATCGAGTCTTTGACACACATTGGCATGGTTGCAAGCACGTGAAATGCCCCAGCTTGAACTCTGCTGTAACTCTGCTGGAGTAAATCATACCCTTTCCATAGACAACGACCCATCCGCTCTCTCTCAAACGTTAATCCATCAACTGCACAATACCTTCCATGGATGCTTGGAAAGAAATCTACAGAGAGATCTCTTTGTGCGCATGAATGATCAGTTCTATAGTTCCTTAGCGTATCGCTAGAGAGCGGGGTCATTGTTCTGTTCAACTAAAACTTTTCTTTTCATGTCTATTGGAAAAGGGTTGTCTACCTTTTTACAACATCACAAGAGGATATACATAATCACACATAATTAATTATTCACCGTCCAAATTCTTTCAAGGTTCAGCAAAAAGAATTCACGAGTCGAGCTTCATCAATAATATGTTTAATTGATATAATCTTTAGTACGATGCTATATTCACAATTGACAAATAATGCAATCACAAAAAACTTGATTATCTATCTCTTCTTTTCTTTTGTTTCTACTATTTTACCTTCCATCACAGAAACGTCATGTCACTCTCGAATATAGCAGATTCTCTAATTTCTCTCATTCTTATTATGCCTCATCCACTTCTTTTCTTGAGTTTTCAGGTTGACCAGGTTTCAGTCCATCTTATGCCATGTGATCATTTATGTTACGAAGTCCAAAAACCTCTACTATCCTTTGCCAAATATCATTTCATACCACGGCTTTAACATCGACTGCTGCCGCCACGCGTCAATTAGATCTATCACATGCAATTACTTTAACCCACCATATGCCATTACCCAGGTCATCTTTGCTAATGATACTAACTATCAGATTAGTATTGCTTTTACATCCAATCCCTTCACGTGCCGATGACCGTGTCTGCCAATAGAATTACCTCTACCATCCTTGTGAGTATATTCATCTTACCACGGTATCTTCCACGAGGTGTTTCTTTGCTAGGCCATACATAATTCACCTTTGACATCAAAGGTAGACTTATGGGTTGCCGTTGCCATTAATTGTTCAGAAGAACGTCTTCTGACTGGAAGACTTGTCTAAGACTGCCTCATCCTCATCCTTGTCATAAACATCCCCTGCCTTTTGCAACAAAAGAAAAAGTCCTTGTGTCTAAGAATTCCTAGATCAACAGCCAGTTTTTCACTACCGCAACGTTTTGGTAGATATATTTCAAATTTACAGGTAGTATGTCAAAGATTTGATCGTTAATTCTTGCTAATACATATATATTTTCATTAAAATAAATGCGATTATCGAAATAATTATAAAAAGGTAATTATGCAAATCTTTGAAATAATTGACTTATCATACATCTTATCACAAAGCAGTATGTGAAATTACTAATTTCATTAAATATCTTTATAAATTTGTGCAGATGCAATGAAAACATCACGTATCTGATTTAAACTATGACTGAAAACTCTTTTGATTCTTTTTATCAATAAAACGTTATGATTTGTGTTTTAATTAAATCAAGTTCAATCAATATGTTGTAAAAAATAAGATTAAATATAAAAAAATAAAAAATAAAATCTTTCTTCGTTTTTATTCGCTTGATAACTTACTGTCTTTGAGCTTTAACTTTTGTCTCAATGTGAAAAATTAGTTTCATTTTACTCGTCTTAGAGCTGAATTTTTTTCCACTCTCATCGATGATTTTTTCTTCCTTCCTTCATTGTGTTGATGAACTTTTCTTAATCTCCACAAATCAAACTAATGCTTCTTTACTTTCTTCACCAAATCAAGATCACCCACACAACGTTTCTTTTATTGTCACATACATGATCTCCTGCAAGAACGATGTCCTCGCCCACAGGTCTTGTCATCTCACTTGGGTCTAATTTTACCTCACTAGTAATACTAATATCATCAAAAAAATTTACCATCATTAGTTATTGATATTGACTCATTGTCATTAAACCACTAAATCTTGGCAATAATCATTCTTTGGCCTTGATGGTTTAGCTTGCACATTTCTTTTGTCTTTTTGTCTACTTAACACTATCATTGAGGCAAATTAATATATTAAAATTTTGGATTTTTATATGCTTTTGCATTTGCGTCTTTTTACTTTCATTTTGGAATTGTGAATCATCTAAATTTTGGCTTTTTGGCACTATGGAATTTTGTAATCTGAATTTATTTTTTTGAAATCAAAATTAAGGTTTTTTTTTAGTGTTTATTACACATTGAATCTGATGATTTTTTGATATTATGAAATTTTGACTTCTGCATTTTTGCAAAATCTGCAAATTGTCTGAAAAGATCTAATATTAATTTTTTTGATATCAATAAATGAAAATGAATATATATATATATATATATAAACCCTATTGTTTGATTCAAACTAAGTGTAAAACTTTGACATGTTATTTATGTTTTCTGATGATGATCTACAGAAGCGCTCCATCAAACCCAGCAGATGAATCATGCACATCACATTAACAAATTCATTGTGACAAGATTTCATAATTGTACACTACGATCAAAATGTTGTGGGCATTATTGGATGGACAAAAGCCATCTTGAACCGTAAATCATGACTGGAGAAGGAGATCTCAGGCGTGCCAAGCCATGCCATGTGAGTGCTGATATGAAGTGCCACATCTTTCTTCCAAATTCTCTCAAGCTTTTCCCAGGAAGAGATTGCGAACCAGACCTTAAAAAGATATTGACCTGTTTTCTATGAAATTCTGAGAACGTCGTAAACCCGTATATATTTAATGAGGTTCTATGAAACACTAGATTCTAAACATTTTGATCTTTATGTTCAATACGTGTTCACGTTTCTCCAGTCGATGTGTTCGTGAATCAAACCATACAGAACTTGTAAACAAAACCGGTCCATTTCCGGAGGTTTATAAATGCAACCATTTGGATGGCTTACAGGTGTTCTTTCTGAGAGAAATCGAGTATATTCAGTGCCGTGTGCCATGTAGCCTATACTGAATTCCGGCCGCCTCCGTAACTTGAATAATTTATGGGCCATAAGTTATGGCGCATTTGGTTTCTCGAACAAGGTATTGTAACGAAGGAAAAGGAGAGACTAGAGGGTGCGTTTGATCAATGTTAAGATACTATCGACCATCCTGACGAACCAAATTTGGAAGCCATGGAGGATCATAGGGACGACAACTGTAAACGATTAGATTCGATTGAAAAGTGCCTACATCTAAGTATCGATCTAAGTACAGTGGGATTGAAGCACTTATTCTATCTTCAGAACCTTTTGAAACCACTGCCTCCTGTTCGCTTGCAAACTTTTGATTTACAGATCTGGTTAGATGTCATATAATATACATGAACGTCATTCCTAGATAGGTTCATGTTAAGACTACCTCCACAGAAGAATACTTTTGTTAAATATAGCTTTTTGAATTTGCTTTTGTGAGGATGTCGATGAACTCAATATGTTTTTCATTTACAGTAACTGATTTCTCCATTGTGTTTCACTTTGATCAGAAAACCGCCATTTCGGTCATTTGAACACCAATACATCCCTGTAATTTCAGAGTAGTGTTCAAAATTCAGCAGCATCTTATTTAATGGTTCAGCTTGAAGAAGCACTTAAGAGTTGGATGAAGCCATTCCATATTGCCAATGCACTAATATCTAACTCATTGTGAAGCATCCGTTCCGTGAATGAGTATGAAATAAAATGATTTTAATATTAATAAATTAATAATTTGAATGATGGATTATTTACATGTTTTACAACATGTAAATAATCCATCATTCAAATTATTATGTTGTGACCAGAAGTATCAAATCCATAGAAAGAAAAAAATTATTATTTTCCACCGAGATGTATGTACAACTTTTTTGAAAAAGAATGTAACTCAAGGAGATGGAAAGGCGGTTCTTATTTTGGATAAAATTCGACTCCGTCAAAGTTCGTTTTTTAACCGAAGAATGTAACGACAATTGTCAATTCTGAGAAGAATATATTTGAGTTTGAATATCGGAAGAG